GTTGCTAGTGGAGTCTGTTCTCTTTCTGTTTTCAAAGGAGGTCGGTTTCACAGTTTCACGGATGGACAGTCAGCCGTGCTCTCGAGTAGCCTCTATGGTTAGCGTGTGTGTGTGTGACGTCTCTCTCTCTTTCTCTCTGCTCTGTCCAGGGAAACGCACGGGCGTAATTGTAGACATTTGTGGCAAGCGAGAGTCGCGTTGATAATGCATGTGTTGACTTAGCTAGACGAAAATTAGTGAGTAGTTAGAAATATATTTTCTAATAATTGTATAACTTTAGCTCTAATTTGTTTTCTCTATGTATAAATTGGGGTTTTCTGCTACAATTCTACTATCAAATTTAACGATCTTTCAATGATTTAATTTTTATTCGAGCAGTTAATTTAATAAGTTAAATGCATTGATATATTTCATAAAATTTTGTCTTATAGTCTACCAACTAATTTTTAGCGATTGCTAACCAATTTTTATTCTACCAACTAATTTATCGATACAGTCAAAAATGTCCTCTGCGTTTTATTCTCACAGTCGAATTATTGGTATAGCCCATTACGCTTCCTCTCCACATATTCTTTCAGGTAATTTATTTGCAATGCATTTCAAATCAAATTCGTCTTTGCTTTGAATATTGCTGGCACATTTGGTCTAGTGTTCTTGCGATATATTTAGAGATTCTTGATAAAATTCAAAGAATAATTTGCAATGTTATCGATCCTGACCTAGTATCTCGGTTTCAGTCACTTTCCCAATGCCGTAGCATAGCTTCCCTGGGCTTCTTCAATGAATACCTTGATGGTAATTGTTCTGATGAACTTTCCGCAATGGTACCTAGACTTTATGAATTTAAGCGCTGTACGAAAAAAAGAAATAGCGAAGTTAGATCGCCATTTTAAAGACCTTCGTAAAAGATGGATTATCATCCTGGTACATCCATTCAACTCACTACCATCTTCATCTACAAAACCCCTCCCAATCGTCTCTCTCGCACACACACATATATATATATATATATATATATATATATATATATATATATATATATATATATATAAAAAAAGAAAGAACAGTAAGATATAAAATCCGGTGTTCTTATAGATATTTTTATTTTTACAAAATAGTGCTCAATGTAAATTTACAGAGCATTAATATTATAATTAATTGATTTAAAATATGGTTTTTTTCGCTACAGTTCCAACCATGTTTCAAAAATAGAAGCTAAAAACCCCAATTTAATTTTGCAATTAAATTAAACGCATTAGTTAAATGGAACTAATGCTTTTAATTTAATTGCAAAATTAAATTCGGGGTTTTTAGCTTCTATTTTTGAAACATGGTTGAAACTTGTAGCGAAAAAAAAACATATTTTAAATCTATTATATATATATATATATATATATATATATATATATATATATATATATATATATATATATATATATATATATAGCCGAGTGGTTAGAACGTTCGTTTTCTGACCATGAGGCCCAGGTTCGTATCTCACCATAGTCGATTTGTCAGGGAGGAGACTTCCTGATGTTATCGGTTTGGAGGGGGACGATCCCAGCGTGCGGCACCTGAAAACCATACCACGAGTTGACCCAAGTCTGGTGAAATTAGTTAGACGGAACACTTGGGGACATAGCTGTGCTAGCATGAAGTCACAAGTCATCGTGACCGAGGGTTTGAGTGTGCTAGATAACACGCTCTCTCCCAGAAACTGTAACTAAGGTCTGCACAGTATAGTTGCAGTATAAACCACAGGTTGGCTCAGTGGGTGTTGAACAAACACAGATGTGCCTGAGCGAGAGTTTGCAATCGAATACGAATGGCCAGCTATTATATTATATATATAATAAAAAAAAGGCTCAAGCACTAATATTCCATGGTTATAATTTATTACAGTGGAATCGTAATCACGATCCAATTCATCAGACCTACAAATTCAAAAAGAAATCGGAAAATATAACTCCGGGTATAAGAAATAAAATTTTAGTGAGAGTTTAAGTGTGGGGTGGGAAACAAGTGTGAGAGGGAAATATATATATATATATATATATATATATATATATATATATATATATATATATATATATATATATAAAATATAAATGCATCTATGTGTAGTCTGGCATGCATACATTATTTTTTTGTAACTTAATGATTTAATCACTTGATAATGCAAAAAAAAAAAAATAAGCAAAAAAAAAAAAAAAGGGAATAGCGAAGTTAGATCGCTATTTTAAAGAGCCTTGTAAAAGAGGATTCACCATCCTGGTACCGCCATTCAATCTCTTACCATCTCCACGTACAAAACCCATCCCAAATTAGTGACTTCGGCTTTACTTGCACCCATCACCCCCATTTTTCCCTATCCCACTCAGCCACCACCCATCGCATTTGCCCGCTGAATTCAATATATTCAGAGTCGGTCGTAATTTTCACTAACTTCCCATTGATACCAAGTCTGGCAAGAATCATATAAAATTCCACTAGTAAATTAGAAAGCCTTGTGCCATGATGTTGTTTCTGTAATTTTTTGTCCTTTTCACTTTTCTGTGCCATCCTATTTACGAATTTTATTTTTTTCTTCCTTCATTTTTTTTATAATGGTTATTCAAACTTATACTAAGTTAAAAAAAAATTATTATTATTTTATTCTCTACTCTCACCTTACTAAATCCGATCCACAAACCCTTTCCTAGCAAACAATTGATTGGTGGGGAACAGATCTTCTAGAATTTTATTTTTTTGTTCCCCGGCGTACAGGTCTGTCATGTCTGTTTGGGTGCAAACACACACACACAAACACACACGCACATTTATAAACTACACAAAGGCGGTCGACAAAGTACGCTACAAGGATCTATTATAGCTGCTAGCAACCTTAACATATTCGAGAAAGACCTCAGAATAATAAAAAAAATCTCTACTGGTAGGAAACCGCCTGCATAAAAATAAAAAAATGACTTTATACAAAAATAGAAAGGGGTATAAGACAAGGATGTGTCTTCTCGCCGGATTTATTCATCCTATACAGCGAGGCAATTCTGAGAGAACTGGAAAATCCTACCAGGATTCATGATTGGTGGCCACAATCTTAAAAAAACATAACATAAGCAGATGACACAGTGCTGACAGGAAAAGGAAACTACAAAACCTACTACAGAAGGTGGCAAAGAAGAGTAGGAAGAAGGGACTAAAAACGTAATCTCCAAAAAACAAAAAAAAAAAAACAAAATGCATGATCATCAGTAAATAGATGAGCCCAAATTTACTATTTACAGGTCGGGGACACTAAAATCAAGCAGTTACAAAAATTTAAATATCTGGGAAGTGTTCTGACAGAGGACGCAAAATGTGACACTGAGATCCGAAACGTATTGGGATGGCCAAAGACACATTCCAAAAGCTAAGCAGGAAAGTTTCTTTGGAAGCAAAGAAAAGAAAACTGAACTGCTACATGATATCTGTTCTCCTGTATGGCAGAGAATGCTGGACAATCTCCTCAAAGATGAAGAAGAGAATCGAAGCAACAATAGTGTGGTTTTACAGAAAGATGCTAAGGATACTATGGGCCGAACATGTGAGCAACGACGAGGTTTTGAAGAGAATGGAAACAAAGGGGAAATTTATACGTAACATGAGGAAGAGTCAGCTGACATTTCTGGAATACGTAATGGGAAAGGAAGGCTTGGAAAATCTGATACTCACAGGACGGAGAGAGGGAAAGAGGAGCTTGAGTAAGTGGATGGCAGAACAGGGTCTGAGAGAAATAACAAAAAGACAAAACTTATTAAGCGTTACAAGGGACAGGAAGAGGTGGAGTGCCATAATTGCCTGCGCCCTGAACGGACACAGTATATAAAAGAAAGAAGAAAGAGTTTTTATTCTACTAACTAATTTATCGATACAGTCAATAATGTCCTCTGCATTTTATTCTCACAGTTGAATTATTGATATAGTTCATTACGCTTCGTCGCTTCATAGTCTTCCAGTGCTGGCACACCTGGTTTGGTGCTCTTGCAATATATTTAGAGATTCTTGATAAAAACCCAAAGAATAATCTGCAATATTATCGGTCCTAACCTGGTATCTCGGTTTCAGTCACTTTTCCCTGTGTCTCTTATAATGGTAATTGTTCTGATGAACTTTCCGCTATGGTACCTAGACTTTATGAATTTAAGCACAATGCTAGATTGACGGCAACGTCTCATCATTTTACAGTTGAAATTGCTACATATAACGAACCGTAAGTCCTATGTTAACAGTTTCTTCTTTTCCACTTCTCGCTTGTGGAACTCTCTTCTGGGGTTCTTGCTTCCCATTCAACTTTGATCATCAGAAATTTAAATGCAATGTAAAACTTTATTTTCTTAATTCCCATGGTCCTCTCACCTTAATAGTGATTTTTCCTCGTATTATCTAATATTCAGTAACCCATTGCGTCTCAGTGGCTTTATAGCCTTACTTGAGGTGGAATTATTAAGAAAATATATTTCTGTTTTGTTTTAATTTTGCATGAGCTAACTTAACGACCAACAAAAAAAAGATAAACTTGGCTGAGTCATGATCGCCCATGTCGTTAAAAAAATAACACGAGAAATAGGGGAAATATGATTCTCTAAGAGTTTTAAATATTTTACAACACAATATCAAAATAAGAACGTATACTGTCGTTTGCCAAATATAGAACAGAATACTTTACGTTTTTTAAAGATTTAGAAAACTAAAACACAAAGAAAGTTTTACTTTTTGGACAATACGTTATCCAAGTTTATTTGAGCTGCACCTAAATGACAAACTCCTTTTTGACTGCTGCTGAGAAAATAGCAGGAAGCTCAAAGCCCAGAATTTGGTGGTAGGAGGAAAACCAAGGCTGACGTCATGTCAACTAAAATATAAATTCCTTGTGAACCATGAGGAGAGACTGGTCATTCTCAAACATACGACTAGCAACGAACAAAGGATGTTTCCGTTTCGAATAATTTTTATAATCACAGTCTTTTCGCTTTTTAAATATACATCGTCTTCCACATCACCAACATTACGATTGGTAAATATAGTAAGTAACAATCATTTTGATTTTTTTCTTACTTTTTACTAGTTTGTAAAATTACTAATATTTAAAAAAAAATTCTGTATTTTCAATGTAAAAGTTAAGATATTTATCTCGGAAAAAAAACATTAAGTAAAGTTGACTTTATTGAATTTTGTCTAAAAGTTTTTTTTTTTCCAATTTGTAATTCACAGAATATGAAGCCCTGTGAAAATAATCTCATTTTTTGTAAATGTATTATTGTAAATGTAATAAAGTAGTCAACAAAGCATGAAATTTGATTATAGCATAGTTGGTGCCAAGTTTATTACGTTCAATGGTTAATTAATTAAATTTTAAATTATAACTTTTACTTTAGCTTAAAGTACCCATTTTTTGCGTTTTGTGTCCTATTTTTAGCATAAATTCTCTTGCAATAAATTTTGTCACATTACAAGAGAATTTGTTCGTAAAAAAAAAAAAAATTACAAAAAATTTATATGGGAAATTTTCTTAAGTTAAACAAAAAAGTGAGTTAAAAATAAAATTTACAAAATTTCTCGGATCCACTGAAAAAAGAAATCGAAGAAAAAAAGAAAACTATATGAAAAAAATTAAAAATAAAATGTGCTCCTCCCGAGAATCCAAAACAAAAAAAAACTTACATTCTTCTTGCCTTAATTAGGCTTTTTTAATTTATGCTGAAATGATTTTGAAATTTGGCAGCCCCAGTCTTTCTTTCCAAAATAAAGTTTTTTTTAAATCGTTTGAATTGAAGGGATAGTTGCCTTTTAGCTTGACAAAATTATTTTCAAAACAAAATATAAAGGTTGTGTTGCGACTTATAAATAAAAATACTATTCCTGTCCGACGTTTAATTTCAAGCAAAGTTCAATTTTTCAAAATTTTGCGTTTGCCTGTTTATGCCAAATTTACTAAGTTAATAAAATAGCTCACTCTGCTGTTCTGACATTTTAAAAATCATCTCAGGGTGGTCCGAAAGTCTTGTCAACCTAACCCTCTCTTCCAAACTAGGAGCTCGTGTCACTCATCTGAAATGGAAAATTATATTATGTAGGGGAGACAAAGACTTTCGGTTCACCCTGTAAGTTGTTATTTTTATTTTTTTATTTTACAAATTTTCTTTTTTTTTCCCCACCTCCACCCGTTTTTTCAAGTGCTTAGTATTTCTGACACGTAATGAAAGCCAGAAATAATAATGCTTAGGTTAAGTAAGAAGTAAGAAATCTGAGTAATTGTGACTTCTAGTTTTATTGTGATGCTTTAAGTCAATAAAAGTTTTATTGTTGGCTAAACAAAGCATTCAGCGGTGAAGCATTGGTCAAACAAACAACTGGTCTTGATATCAATTGCAAAAAGTGAGTGAAAGAAAATTAATTTTGTATAAATTCCGATTTTTTTGTCTTTAAAACTCAATTTAAAATATATATTTACCCTTGAAATATTCCCATTTCATTGTAAACATTTCTCAAAATAGGATGTGTCGGTAGCGTTTAAACTTTAAAGTAGACGGTTATCGGCACAGAGAATGGGATAAAAGATCCAAGTTCAAATTCCGACTTAGTTCTTTGCATGAATTTTTGCACAAAATCCCCTTAGAAAGGTATAGAAATCTACCTCGTTTTGAAATCTTTCATCTGCCAGACTCTCGTTTGTCCAAAAATGACATGTTTTTTCTATTCCAACAAAAAAAGACGAGTGTTTAAAAATAAAAATAGTTTGTGTAGAACTCGTTTTCCTAGTTTTTGAATTTTTTCCAAGGCTAAGTGGAAGAGTGAGATATGCCGACCAAAAGTATTGAACAGGAAAATTTTTCTTTAAAACAAAAGTTTGCTGAACTGAACACTGTTATTTCAGTGAATGTTGGACAATTTCAAAATAGATGAAGTGAAGACTTGAGAGAACAGAAATTTGGTTCTATAGAAGGGTGCTGAGAATACCATAGAGAGGACATGTAAGCAACAAGGAAGTTTTAAGGGTTAGGAAAATGGAAACAAAAAGGACCATTTACCAGGCACACAATCCTAGAAGAAAATGACAACTTGAATAAAACTGAATACATGGAATTAATAAGTAAAACACATCTACAATGCTGATAATAGTGAAGAATGAAATTAAAGAAAACTTAAGAATAATAACTAATTATTTAGATAAGATAACTGTACCTATTATTGTGCTAGATCTGCCTTCATTAAGCAATTATATTTAACCTAATTAACAATAAAGTACTAATGGTAATAAATATTAACCATTTTCTTATATGGAAACATTTGGCATTCATTGACTGAGCAGCCAGTTCTACTGTTAGTTGAAATTTATAAAATCTTTCTCTTAAAACAATTTTTCATAAAATTGATTTCTCAATTCCTGGAGCTATTACTTACCAGTAAGTACTAATGGGAGTTTCCTTCCTAACCATTTATTTGAAGTAGTGTGGAATGTCAATATCTTAATTATGTTATTATTTTCTCTTTGTTACATGTCATATCCATTTTAGCTGTTGTTTAAATTCCTCAAGTGATGTGGTTACTGTTATCTGGTACATCACTTTGTGAGTCTGTTGCTCCAATCCACAAGGTTCAAACTGTGGTCTTCACGAAGACCCATAGGCTTCACTCAATCAAAGCTATTTTTAACCATTAATCTTAGAAAATTGTTGTAAACAGGTGACCATTTAGATATTTCTGAACAGGTTTGCATCATGCAAGACATCCATATGAAACTCTCGATCAATCAAGGCTTAAAGTTTTCATGATTGATTTGAACAATAGTTCACTTGTGACAATCCAATTGTTCAGCAAGTCCTGAGGTGTACTTGTCGAAATATTGTGATGAGATTGCATCACTATTTTAATTTTAGTCAATTGGGCTTATTCCACTTAGGTCTGTTTCATTCAAACCATATCTACCCCCATGATCTTGTACCCATTAAATAGCTGGAGAGATAGTCATTTCATTCTCCCCAGGCTCTTTACTTAGAATTAAAGAGAAAACACTGAACCACACCACTATCTTTCCCAAGAATTGAAATTTATAATCTAGAGTTCTTTTTTCGTATATTACTATTGATTATGTACTACAGATTGTGAATTTAAAAAAAAAAAATTTTTTGCATTTTAATAAATCCCATAGATATCACGTCTTGAAGAGAAAGTAATGACATTATAAAATGTTGATATTCCACACTAGTTCAAATAAGATGCTAGGATGGAACCCCCCAACCAATCAATACTGGAAAAAGCAATAACAGCTACTGGACTTGAAAAACTTATTTTCTTGAAAAACTTTTTTAAGAGAAAAATTTTATAAATTTCAACAGAAAACAGTATTGGCTGCTTGGTCAACGAATGGGAAATATTTCCTTGTAAGGAAATTGCTAATATTGCCATTGTATGAGTATGTTTTGTTTTCAGCTTCTACAGGGAGATTAATTTTTATAGCAAACTAGTCCCTCCTTATTAACTTAATTTTTTATTTTTAATATTCATTATCTGAAGTGCTTAATTTATAGCAATTTGAAAAATAAATTGTTTGCTGATACTATTGTACAAATCCACCAATTGTTGATAGGGGTTAAAGGGATCTCCATAGTCATAGTGAAGGTACTCTGTTTAGGAGAAGAAAAAATAAAAAAAACATAAGTAAACATAGTATAAATTCTAGGTTGGTATCTGGCACGATTAAACCTACCTTATCAAGGAGGTAAGCTTTCTTTAAACCTCCTTATATATAAATCTTTCTAACCCTGGTGTCTGGGTATGACACTCTTGTCTAAGTTGCTCCAAGCAAGCAAAAAGAGTAGTCTGATAAAACTAACATGAAAATGCCAATCTAAAGATTTTCAAAATCAAAGGAGTGGCTTATGATTTTGGAAATCATACCCTGAATGCTTGCCTTGGAATAAGGAGAACTGATAAGCAATCCCAGACTGATGTGACAGCAGAAACCAAAGGATCACTCCAGCATCCTTGGATTGCTTGTTGATTTCTTTAATGGCATATCAAATCCATATGGGTCATTTAATGCCAAAGTTTAATTTTCTTGGGAACTTTGAAGTAATAAAAATGATAGTCTGCTTTCACAAATGAATACATGGTAGATGATCAGTCAGTTATGTGTCATGTGTGATACACGCTTAGGCGATCATGTATCTTTTGATACATGACTGACGAGGTAGATTTTTTTCCCCACAGTAGGTTGCCATTTTTTTTATACAGTAAACCAGTTAACATCCAAGGCTATAGAACCCAGTCTGTCCTGCTATTTACCCATAGATGGGGGGAGAAAAGGAATCATACCTTTTCCAAGGGTATTAGCACATAAGTGAATGTAATGGATTCGACTGGAATTTGAACTCGGCTCTCCGATTCCTCAGTCCGATCTGCTATCCATTACTCCACCATGCCTCCCTGGTAGATGATACTCAGTTTTTGTACACCTAAAAGTATGTGGGCATAATTACTAGTGGTGTTGACTGTGTTTTATGTTTATTTTTTTAAATTATATTTTGGAATACAGTTTGATTTAAGAAATTATAGAAAATCATATGGATTAATAACAGTATATCAACACCTGTTATTCAATTGACTTGACTTGTATCGGTTTTCACCCTAGTCGGGCTGAACCGGCTTCCTCCTGAGCAAGTACAGCATCACAGACCATCGCTGCCCATGCTTGTCAATCCTGAGCCAGGTCACACGAAATGGGGAGCCACCCCACGATTCCATCGTCGAAGACCAACTACTTGTGGACCCGATAGTACTGCTAGGTCATCCTTGATTGTGCTAGCCCACATCCTCAGCTGACCACCGACACGTTTTTGCCAGCCAGGAAGAGAAGGAGGGAGAAGTACATCGTGGATGAGCTCTTCCTCCGGGTGTCGAGTTGCGTGCCCGAACCATCGGAGACAACGCTGGAGCAAGACAGGTGGAAGATGACGGAGACTCAGGCGACGATGTAGAGTGACTGTGGGCACCTGATCAATTCAGCGGCATCATAGAATGCAGCGAAGTCAATCGTTGTCGGACACTTCAAGCCTTCGTAGGTCAACCGCTCTAAGTGGCCACGTTTCGTAGCCATAGAGAAGGATAGTCCAAACAATAGCCTGATAGATGCACCATTTCGTAGCTGTGGAAATCCCCCATAGTGACCGCTGTTATTCAATGCTGAAATCTAAATATTTTTAACACAATTTTATGGCTTCAACTAATTATTTTGAGCCTTCAACTGTTTCACAGTGGAGGCTTGTATTTCACTAAGTCGGTCCTAAAAAGGTTCGGCGTACAAAATGTTAGGAACTTGAAATAATAGTTAATGACGCAGCAATCTAGTTGTGGTGGTTGATACTATAATGTCCAACATCGACTGACTCCAACTCACTGAGCCCACTGGCGGCTACTACTACTTATTATCTGTGGGAGAGTCTATTAACAATAGAATAGGTATGTTCCGGTATAACAAAATGTATGCTGATTTTGTATTGTCAGTCTTTTTATATAAAAATGTATTGCTGGTATTTTTACTATTAAAATGTATTGCTGGTATTTTTGCTATTAAAATTTTTTACACTTTCATAGTGTTTTTGTTTGGGACCCTAACAAGTGCTACTACCCCAGGTCAGGGTGAACCTAGAAACAACAGCAATTAAGAGGTTCTAGATTCCTCAAAACCTCCAATCTCCCAATCAGAGGCCTTGCTGCCAGATGTAGTTCATCATCATACCCCAAACTCTCAGACTGGTGAATTACATGCAACCAAAGGAAAATGAATATGGCCCCCAAAGTACACAATCTACAATAGTCAGAAATAAGAAAAAGAAAACATTTTTCATAAAATATTTTAATTTAGTTTATATAACTTAATAAAATAATTTATAGTAATAAAATAGATGTTTTCATAAAATATTTTTTTAAATATTAATTACTATAAATCAAAAAACATCACCAACATTTGTTTATTAAAATATAATTTCATTATTATAAACTATGATTTGTTAAAAAAAATTTTGAATATTTCCTTATAAAAAAAAATTGACAAACTTAGACCATTGTGCCCACAAAAATAGTGTGTCAAAAATCAGGTTTTCCATTTAACACTGCCATTAATTTAACTACCTTCATTCCTCAGCAATATTTATTGTTTTAAAAAGCAATGATTACAATTGTAATAAAACTTATGATGAAGGTGAATCAATTTTCTTTATTCATTATATTGCTTATTTGAATGGTTGTTAAAACACTGGCTAATTGCCAAATGATTCAAACTTTAAAAAGTGGTAAATTTCATTATAATTGGTTCACATACTTTAATAATTTAGTAAATGGTTATAAATTTATGAATAAAAAATTGTTTTTATCATTATTTATTTATAAATTGATAAATATTGTATTGCATTAGTTTTAATAGTATTAGTTTTTAGAATGTAAATATAAAATTATTTGTGTAAATAAGTAATCTAATAAATAGTATTTCATATTTTTGTCATAAATTCTGAAGAACAAAAAGTATAAATTCACTTTTTAAAACAAAGATTGTTGAGGAGAGAAGGTATTTAAAATAATATAATAAATAAAATAAAATAAATAAATAAAATAAAATAAATAAATAAAAATAGATAAATAAATAAAAATAGATAAAAAAATAAATAAATAAATAAAAATAGATAAAAAAATAAATAAATAAATAAAAATAGATAAAAAAAAAATAAATAAATAAATAAAAATAGATAAAAAAATAAATAAATAAATAAATAAAATAAAAAAATAAATAAAAAATAAATAAAAAAAATAAAAAAAATAGATAAAAATAAAAAATAAATAAAAAAAAATAGATAAAAAAAATAAAATAAAAAAAATAAAATAAAAAAATAAATAAATAAAAATAGATAAAAAATAGATAAAAATAAATAAAAAATAGATAAAAAAATAAATAAAAAAAAATAGATAAAAAAATAAATAAAAAAAATAGATAAAAAAAATAAATAAATAAAAATAGATAAAAAATAAATAAAAAATATAGATAAAAATAAAATAAATAAAAAAATAGAAAAATAAAAAAATAAATAAAAATAAATAAAAAAATAAAAAATAAAAAAATAAATAAAGATAAAAAAAATAAAATAAATAAAAAAAATAAAAAAAAAATAAATAAAAATAAATAAATAAATAAAGATAAAAAAAAAAATAAATAAATAAAGATAAAAATAAAAATAAATAAATAAAGATAAAAAATAAAATAAATAAATAAAGATAAAAAAAAAAAATAAATAAATAAAAATAAAAAATAAATAAAATAAAATAAAAATAAAGATAAAAAATAAAAAAATAAATAAAGATAAAAATAAAATAAATAAATAAAGATAAAAATAAAATAAATAAATAAAGATAAAAAATAAAATAAATAAATAAAGATAAAAAATAAAATAAATAAATAAAGATAAAAAATAAAATAAATAAAAATAGATAAATAAATAAAAATAGATAAATAAATAAAATTAAATAAAAATAAATAATAGTGATGTCAAGGAGAAAATTGTCCTTTTGACATTCCATTTTTTGTGGACACAAAGCCTAAGTTTACCAAAAATTATTTATTATATGAAAATATTATCCTTTGATTTTTTTTTTTCTATTCAAAAACTTAATTATGATGCAAATTTATGATTTCACATTTATGAATAAAAGTTATGACTTTCTGTTTCTCTGACTTTTTCCTGCCATAACAAATCCTATCTTACAACTTTCTTTCTATGACTTTTTTTTCTTTCAACTCAAAGACAGTGTTTTCTTTTAAAGTTAAACACATTTTGTCTTACTATTTGGCTGGAACACTTTATTAAATTGAAACTAAAGAAATTACCTACCAATGAAGTTTATTTCACCAGAGAAAAAGCAAATTTTATTAAATGTCTTTTGCTATTTAGAAAACTTTGAAATGGAAAAGAGATTTCATCTCTTAGTGAAGACAAAGTAAAATACAATTCTATGTTAATAAGTTTACAGGAAAATATCTTAGTTCATAACCATGTGCCACAAACAGTAATATCAATAATGAGACAGGACACTGTCAAATATTCCTAAAGGAATGTGTGCATCTAATAATGCCCAAGAAGAATAATCCAAGAGATACAAGTCTCTTTGTCAGATGATTCAATAATGTTGTATTTTAAAGAAAAAATCATTTGCAATACATTTTTTATAATAAAAGGCATTTGAAAGGCAATTTTTCAATAGTAAAATTCATTTGTGCCCCATTTTTACAATAGCATGTCATTTATGATATAATTTTTTCAATAGTAAAAGTCATTTGTGATGCATTTTTTTTTCAATAGTAAGTCATTTGTGATGCATTTTTTTTTCAATAGTAAGTCATTTGTGATGTTTTTTTTTTTTCAATAGTAAGTCATTTGCGATGCATTTTTTTTTTTTTTTTTTTTTTCAAAAGTCATTTGCAATGCATTTTTATCCTAAAACTCATTTGCAATGCATTAACTGATTCTCAATGAATTTCTGTACATGTTTATATTATTTACTGTATCATGATATATGCAATTATTAGAGTGAATTAAGCTCCCCTCATCAATCTCGGCCAGGACCATTGTCCACAACTTTACTCTTCAGTAATGAATCCTTTTTATGGCTGTATAGTATGTGCTTCCCCAGAGCCATATACAGTACTGAATTTAATTCCCCTTCTCTTAGACTGGTTGCCAACCATGGTTTGATACCCCAATCTGCTTTGCTGTTTAATCCATACCCAAGGAGAGAAGAGATGGACTTATACCTTTCTCAAGGCTATCTGCATAAAAGTGACTTAAGTGATATATCAAATGCTAGTAAAAAATAAAAAAAATAACCTGTAATAATTATTAAAAAAAACATATTGAAAACATGTAAAAACATATACAGATTAAGTTATTAACTTTCATTTGTTATCTCTTGTATAACATATTTTAATTTTATTTATGTTGGCCTTTATTGTAGCTATATCGACATGGTGATAGATCTCCCAGCACTACGTTCCCTACTGATGAACACAAGGAAGACAGTTGGCCACAAGGATGGGGCTGGCTTTCAAAAGTAAGCAAAATTTTCAATCTCTGGAAAAAAAAAATTACATATTGTTCCTTTCTAATATTCTATTCTGTAGTGTAAAAACTCCTATAGTTCTGCATGTTTTGAATTTGCTACCATTAGTTTGTGTATCTGCCACTAGGGGGTCTTTGATTTAGTTTCAAACTCTGGTTTGAACTGTAATTTATCAGTTAATAAACTGATTAGATAAACTAGACAGTGTTTAATCTTTGTGCCTGCAAAAAAAAAGGTGGGTGTCAAAAGGTTTATTCTCTTGGCACCACTATTATAGTATACACTTTTAACTTCTTTACCAATATTTATTATTTTAAAAAGCAATGTTTAGAATCTTAATAAAACATAAATGTATGAAAATGGATTTATACATTTTCTTTATTCTTGAGAACTGACAACAAAGACGTTAAACCCTATTTATTAGATTGAATAAAAAACTTGCTTTTTTATGGTTATTTATAAAATATTAAATAATAAATATTATAGATGCCCATACTTGCCTCTACCTTACTACACTTCTGTGGATAATTTAGTGACAAAATGGAAAAAACCTACTACATTGTGCATTTTGTCCCTCAAAAGACATCTCAAGATTCATAATGATTTTACTGATGGAGTTTTATCTCTCTCTCTCCCTATATATATATATATATATATATATATATAATCAAACGAATTCTTTTACCTCATATAGGGAATAAGCTATTTCAGCAGACAACAAAGTGGCCATCTGCCAAAATAGCCTATTCCCTATATGAGGTAAAAGAATTTGTTTGATTAATTATATTGCTCTGTATAGATAAAATACATTGAGCTCTTTTTTGTTGATCATTTCTAATATTTTTTATATTACTAGGACCCACTTGCATTATATACCAACTGATTTTTTACCTTACCATATATATATATATATATATATATATATATATATTTATATATATATATATAAACTAATATAATTAATACAAGTAAAAGGTTCAGCACTGAGCTGATAGATGTTCAGTATCCCAACCTCGAAGTTTCATAGATGGACCCTTGAGGAATCACTCCATCCACTCTTCAGGGTTATCAGCAATTGAATCTTCATATTTCTCAATTTTTCCTTTTTATATGCACCTTTCATTGGTGCAAGTTTTTTTTTCTTTTTCATAGTGTATGTATGCATTTGTGCTTAGATGCTCATTTGTGCATATGTAATAAAAATATAGTTTTGCAGTGTGCTATATTTATAGGTAAAAGTTTTCAATTTCGGAGATAGAGCATATGTAGATATAAACGTGAACACTGAGGTCAAACTGAGCAGTGACAGTCCATTTCATGCTTGAATGTACAGACCATATCCTGAATATTGTGTTCAAGCATTAATCAGACCATTGACACTCTGTGTTGACCTCACTGAACACTTATATATATTGCAGAACGGTGTAATATACCAAACCACTATAAAATCAGCAGATAACAAAGAAAAAATATGCATAGGAGTAACTGAAGGACCTTGGAAACAAAGAAACTATGGACACAAAACATCCTTTACAAATAGCAAATATGCAAACAGCACAATGCTTTCTAAACATATCTGGGAAATTAAAAACAAAAACAAATCACACCAAAAATATTATCTGAAATAAGGAAAAGAACATCAACCTACAACAAACAATCCAAAAACTGTAAACTCCGCCTGGAAGAAAAAAATAGCCATAATTACCTTCCCAGGCCAAAACAAACAATTGAAACTCATCACAAAATGCAGACATGAAAACAAATATTTTTACTATGCTACTTAAAAATCAAAAACTGAAAATAAACAAGAATAAATGAAAATATTTAAATAAAAATAAATTAATCCAAACAAATAAGTAAATAAACTAAGTAAATAATAAACAAATTAACAAACCATACCCACCAAAATAACTGTTAGAATAATACAATAGACTATACACAATGCAAAATTCTTCACTGACTTGTGTATATAAAAAGTCTAGCAAAAATACAATGCACATGGCCTGACAATTGTATTTAGCATGAAACAATCTGTCGCCTCTGGGTGTTGACTTCAATGTCCACTTATATAGGAGAGAAATACATCAAATGCCAGTTATAATTTTACACTGAGAAAGTTAAGCATCCCTCTATTTTCAGTATTTCTCAATTTAAAATTGCTAACAGGCATTTGTTGTACTTCTCTCCAACCCATATATATATATATATATATATATATATATATATATATATATATATATAGAGAGAGAGAGAGAGACTGTAATCAATAACACCATTATTAGTCTGAAAAAGTCTTTTCAAAGCATGAAACACATAGCATAAGAGTTTCATTTTGTCACTCAATTACTCTTTATTTGTCTGATATACTGTCCTGGATACGATAATAAACTGCATCCGGCAGCAAGGCCTTTCTTCGAGAGATTGGAGGTTTTAAGGAGTGTAAAACCATCTCTTATTTGGTGTTGTTCCCATGTCTACTTTGACTGTGGTGGTAGCACCTGTTTGGACTTCAGCAAAACACTTGGAAAGTATAAAAATATATTTTTATAGTCAAAATGACCAACAATATATTTTTATAAAAAAATTACCAGAAAGACATTTTAACATCTACAAATTTATCTAAAAAAAACATATTTGCCCCTGAAAGTATAAAATATACAATATATCTAGTTGAAGCTACAAGAATACATACAAAATATTTAGATTTTAGCATTTAATAACCCATTGATATGCCACAAAACAAAAGCAACTATTGTCTGATATACAGATTTATATATCAGATCTTCCATAAAATTTTTATCAGTCTTATAGATTATTTTTAATAAAACTAAAAATAAACTGCTGTCGCATACCTACAGATGATAATGGGTATGTCCCCATTCACATAAGTACAGTAGTAAATACTGTATGTTGGTCTGTAGGTGGAGATTCATTGTGGAATTCATTTGACCCACTTTTAGCAGTTGACTACTACTTCTACGTGATGCTGGCAAATTTTATGAGTTGTTCTTGTCCTAAGTATTAGCATTCATTACCAACCTTTGTGTGGTTATTCTATTCTGTAACCTTCCCTAGGTTACAACACAAACACAATTTTCATTTAACAATTTGTATTCTATAAATGTTATTGTATTTTGTACACAGTTAAAAAAAAATTGAACTCAAATATATTGCATAATAGTAGGAAAGAAATAATTCTGTTTACATTGACAATTTACCATTTATCTACTTATGTCTAACAAAGTGTAGAAAACCTAATGCACATATTTATTTGGTGTGGTCCCTTAGAGGCCAATTTCTATTGCTTTATTGCCTTGCTTGGGGTGAAATGATTTAAAAAAAAAGAAAGGTCTATATGTAATCTTTTCATCATTTGAAGTTAAAAAAAAAATTATGGCCTTGTAGGAAATTCAGTTGTCCAGGCTTTTTCATATTAAAAATCTGAATTTCAAATAATAAAAAATAAAACCTCAGTATGCCTGTTGAATAAATCATTTGTATTTACAAACATATGTACATGAATTCAAAAGAGTTAAAAATTATTAAAAATAGTCTTTAGCTGAGTTAGTCTTTTGGTAGTTGGTACACAGAAAAATCTGTAGTTTAGAAAAGACTTTTAAATAATTGGTCCACAGAAAAAATCTATGGTTGAGAAAAGACTTTTATTGTTAGCAAAGATTCACTGACTGTCTTTATTGTTGGAGATGATTCATTGGCAGTCAATGACATGTTTCTTCCAGCATTCACTATAGAGGAAGGAGAAAAAGCTATGTCACTATGGCATGGAGATAGGCACATCTCTCTCCTTAAGTCAAAATCTGTAGTTTTTTTATAAGAAATTTTTCTTGAAATTATGACTCAAGAAAAAGGGTTTTAGTTTTCTTTGATTGGTCAAATATTTCACATGGTGATGTTAATTTCTAACCAATAGACACTTTGATTTAAACAGTGTTTGTTGTGTTGTGTAATCTTTTTGGCATGTTTGTAATATTGTCTGTTATTGGATAGAAAATAGTTTGGATGTGTTTTAATATGGTGTGTATTGTGTTGCAAATAGGGTTTATTTTCTATAGCCTGTCTTGTTAGGTTTATTTATATATCAACCCACAAGAGTAAAATGTGACACATGGTTGTAAATATTAAGGTTCACTTATTTTTTTTGTATGATGGGTGTTAACCAGAAATTTCTCAATTCTACTGACTACCTGTTAAATATATCTGTAGTTTTGATGTCTCCACAAAGCAGGTGTTGTTGTTGTTTTTTTTTTTTTGGTTTTTTTAGTTCCCTCCATATAAGGTAGTAAAGCCACTACAACACAAGGGAGTATAGAAGAATTAGAAACGAGAAGGGAGTTCCATGTACGAGAAAAGAAACTGTATGCATTGAACTTGCGGTTACGTTTAGCCAACTCAACTTTAAATTGATGAGATATGGATGCCAGTCTAGTTCTGTGCTTAAATTAAAAAATCTAGCTATCATATCAAAGGGCTCATCCAAACAATTACCATGAAAGTATTTATAGAAAAGACACAGAGAGGCAACCTTATGGTAGTGGGAAAGTGACTGAAGCCGAGCTGCCAGATCAAGACCAATAATATTGCTGGTTATTCTTTGGATTTTATCAAGGAACTCGAGATAAATAGCAGGAACACCAGCCTGTATGCGGCAGCAATATCCTAACATGGAGGAATAGTAGACTTATAGATATGTAGGATAGTTTCTGGAGAGAATAATTGTTTCACATGACACAGTGAACCGACTTTCTTAGCAGCTTGTCTTAGCAATGGATTTAATATAGTCATTCAACTTCATGCCCACAGAAAACATTAGCCCAAGAAAGTACAAATTTTATTGCCTGTATGTGGCAGTAATATCCTAATACAGAGGAATGGTAGACTTATAGATATGTAGGATAGTTTCTGGAGAGAAAAATTGTTTCAAACGGCACAGTGAACCAACATTCTTAGCAGCTTGTCTTAGCAATGGATTTAACATAGTCAACTTCAACTTATGTCCTCTGAAAACATTAGCCCAAGAAGGCACCAATTTTATTGGTTTCAGGTTATCAATAATGTATATTGTTTTCCCAACTGAGAGTGTGCGTTTGACATGCATAATAACATTCTTTTGCCAATATGCTTTTGCCTATGTAAAAAATCAGGAAATGCAGATGGCTTAATGGTTAATAGCAAGAAGAGTGGAATCAGTAAACTAAGTTCAAACTTCAGATGGGACAGTATGAATTCACTTAGCACTAATGCACTTGGAAAAGGCATGAATTTATTTTTATCACCAGGTATGAGTAACAAGTAAGAAAGGTGATGCCCATTGGACATTGGGCTTGAAATGCAGCCATTTAAATATTCACTTGCCTCTGAAAATACAGCAGCATCCTTTGGAATCAATGTGTCACTAATATCTACAAGGAGTTTGCTGAAATAAGACCCAGCCCTTTAAATATTCCCTTGCTATTGAAACTGCAGTAGTACCATTTGGTGTAGTTGATCCTGTAGGAGTTTGCAGGAATAAGACCCAGTCCCTTATATATTCACTTGACACTGCATTGGTATCACTTGGCATGATTGTAACATTAGTTTCTACAAACAATTTGCAGGAATAAACTCAATCCCTTAAATATTTATTTGCTACTGAAACCACAGCAACATCATTTGGTGTGATTTATTGTTTTGGTTGTGGTCCTAGGCCCCATAAGGTTTTTGCAGGGACAAACAAAACTATGCCGAAAAATCAGGTTTTTAAAATATTTTTTTGTTCCATTAAATGAAAGCACTTTATCCCATTTATTTATTTCATTTTTACTCTAGGTTGGAATTGAACAGCATTTTAATCTTGGGAAATTTTTACGAAAACGTTACAATGGATTCCTTAACTCAACTTACCTTCGAAATGAAGTGAGTATTAAAAAATGTTTTTCATTCATTTTACCCTTAATATTAGACTGATGCAAAAGTTTCCAGCAGTTTTAACAAAATCTTTTATTCCTTATAAATTCTTATTATTGAGCTATCTTTTTCCTGCCTTTATATTTTGTAATCTTTTATACAAAATTATTCATTTTAGGTATAAAGTTTGCAGGGCTCACTTTCCTGAAAACCAGACTAAATAGACATTAGAAAAGATTTTTTTTAATTTCTGGAAAATTTTGCAAACAGATTTCAAACAATATTTTTTTTTTTTTTCTTACAAATCTTTTATTCGTATAAATTCATAACATCGTTATTCAGTCATCCAATTGTTTGAAACTTTGGTTTGAACTGTAATTAATCAGTGTAGAAACTCACTAAACTAAATGTGTAAAACAAAACTTAACATGGGTTTCAAATTTTGAATTTGATAATTCTCACTGTTTATTTTAGGATAAAACTAGATTGGTAATTGCATGACAAATCTTGGGGGAGGCTCCTGTGTTACATTTTTCATCCTTTGAAAGGACATTTTCTGACTAATATTGATTTTATTGATGGAGTCATACATACACACACGCTTTGTGAAACAAACAAAGCGTCTCCTAAAAGAGTATGCTAACAAGACACTATGTTAAAATGACACCATTATATCATCTGCCAGCATAGTCTTGACTGATCATTACCAATTATACATGCAATCCTCAGGCTTTCAGTAACTGTATTCAGTGACAAGGGCATTTTTCATAAATCCCTGCTGGCTATCTCGGGTGATGAGTAGAGTTTGCATATTCTTAGTATGCAAAAACCAACTAAATCTACTGAAGGGGGGGTACTTACATTGGGGGGGTAATGTTTTTTTGTTTTTTTTTTTAGGTGGGGGTGATTGTTGTTTTTATTCTTATGAATTTTATAAATTATTTTTAATAAAACCAGTTAGAAAATTTTTTTTTTTATTTATTTTTTTAAAATAAAAAATGCTAGAAATTTTCACATGCAGAAGTTTCAATTTTTTTTTTTTTTTTCCACAAAATCTTTTCATATAAATTCATAGCCTCATTATGCAGTCAGAAAAGTATTTTCTCTGGCTTTAAGCATCCTTTTCAGTTAAATTATGCCTTTCCTCCTATTAGGAACATAGGTGCTGGAATTTCAATTCCATCTGGATTATCATTGGTTGTGTTGCTTTTACACCATGAGGACAGATATTTTTATTCCATATAATTGCCAGTTTGTGTTTTTATTCCAATGTGCTATTCAAACTAGCCAATTGCTCCCTATAGTGTTGCACAGTCTGAGTTTAGATCAAAATTTCTCAACCAGGCTTCCCCAGAACCCTGAGGTTCCGCAAAAGGTCCCCAAGGGTTCCACGAGAACAGGTGAGATAAGCTGATGCACTTTTGACTTTTTATTTAATTTTATATACGTAATATTACTAAACAGTAAACACACACAATATATTCTTGGTTATTGTAATATTGTAATATAGACATAATCCTATTTAACCTATTATGTTATTAAAAATATAACAATCATTGGGAATATATTTAGCGATGTCTGTATGTCGCCAGTAGAAAACCACCTTTGCTAGTCGGTGCTCACTCAGCAAACCAGTTATTCAAAAACATATACTATGATATTTACCATGTGAACTATGATGAAAATAAAATGAGAAATGGGATATAATTTTGTTTTTACGCAGGGATTCCTTAAGACATGTAATTTATTTTAAGGGTTACGCAAGGATAAAAAGGTTGAGAAATGCTGGTTTAGATTCTAATAATATGTAATAATGAATTTCATTTGAGTTTCACCAAAAACATTTCCCCTGTAGATTCCACTGAGGTTCAGATATTCTGGATCTAGATCTAATTATGTTTCTTTTGGATTCTCAAAATAAATCTTTCATCTACTAGTGACTATCTTGTCCAAAAATGTCTGTTTTTCAATATCCAACAGGAAGAGAAAGACGAGTGTTTAAATGCTGATTGATGTTTATATAAATTCATGTGGGACTCGTTTTTCTAGTTTCTGGATGTTTGCCAAGGCTATAGGAAAAGATGCTGACCAAAAATTAAACGGTGTTAATCAGGAAAAATTTTTCTTCAAAACAAAAGTGTACTAAACTGCTATATGACAATGAATGCTGGACAGTTTCTTTGTAGATTAAGTGGAGACTTGAGACTACAGAAGAATGCTGAGAATACCATGGGTGGGGCATGTAAGCAACAAGGAAGTGTTAAGGAAAATGGAAACACAGTTGAAATTTCTGGGATGCATGATGAGGATAGAGGGCTTGGCGAATTTAACACTCATAGAACATACTGAAGGCAAGAGAGGTAGAGAGAAATAGGAAGTAATCTACTTCATGAGCTTGTGTAAATGGATGTAGAGTAGGGACTGGTAAGCAGTAAGGGGACTATGCCTAACATTACAAAGGATAGTTAGTTGTAGAGACCCTTGATAGTCTAAGTCCTGAAAGAATACAGTGCAAGAAAGATGGACATAAATGTACTTACATATATATAATAACACTTATATCTGATAAGATTTTATTTTCCTAATATTACAGTAATTATTGTAATAATTCTAATATATTATAATTCTGTTTCTTCTTTAGTTAGGACATATGTTATGCCCTATCAATTCCTCATAAATAATGGACTATTGATTGTGAGGAAATATGGAAAAGACATATCAGAGGCACTGTTTGGTTTTAGTGTGAAGAAAGTTTGGTTTGGTTGATTTTTTTTTTTTTTTTTTTTAGTGGGATATCAACACCCCTATAGGTTATTTAATACTGAAATCTAAATATTTTTAACACAATTTTATGGCTTCAATTAAATATATTTTGATTGCAATTGTATGCCTCCAACTACAGATAAAATGTATTGCAGGTAATTTTTCTATAAATGGGTAATGTTGGTAATTTTTTTATATAATAATTTATTGCTGGTATTTTTACTATAAAAATGTATTTTTATACTTTCATAGTGTTTTGTTTTTGTTGGGGTTCACTATTTGCCCATAGTTAGGACCCTAACAAGTGCTACCACCCCTAGTCAGGGTGGACCTGGGAACAACAGCAATAAAGTGGGTAAAGAAAGAAAGAAGGTTAATGCTCTCATGTGTTTAAAATCTGCTTCAATGAAACAGAAAAATCTCTCAATTTCTAATCTTTTCATTTGTACCCTCTTACTTCTTTAATGATCTACATTCTTACTTATGATTGTTATTGCAATAATTTCTGAAAGTTGCTAAGCTCAAATATTTAATGATGGAATGGGGGAATTTCTGAAGGTACTTTATAGTCATGGAACTCTCAAGGAGCTTATTCATTTACTTAAGAATTAAGATTTATCAGAAAATTGAAATGGCAAAACTGAAATTTTCACAAAGACTACTAGTTAGTATCTATCTATATTTCTGAGATGAGGTATTGGAGAGGGGAATTAACAGGAGATAACTGATATCCATCAAAACATGGCATGTGGAACTAGAACAGTCTACCCCAGTGAGCGAAATAAAGGATTCAGTCTGACATTCCAACCACCTGAAGAAAGCCGGAGCGTACAATGGCTGAAACGTTGTAATAAATATAGCGACAGAGATGAGGACAATAGTCTGAATAATGTAAATAGACTACTAGTTAGATTTATTATTGTAAATGATTTTAATTGATCAAATTTAATTTTTGTGTGATTTCAGTTAAATGCATTTCTATTTAGCTTCAATTAATACAAAATGTCTCTAGTTAAAAACTTTTTTCTTTTTAAGATCAAAGTTGAAAGTTCTTCCACTGACCGCTGTTTGATGAGTGCACAGGCTAATCTTGCAGGATTATATCCACCATCAGAAGAACAATTATGGAATAAAAATATTCGATGGATACCAATTCCAGTGTTAACAAGATCAAAAAATGAAGACAATGTAAGTAACACTGCTTTTTTTTTTTTTTTTTTTTTTTTTTTTTGCTACTGGCTCCTAAAAAGAATTTGTTTTAATTAAATCTATTTCAGCATTGTTATATTATATATGAGGCGATCCTAGCATGTGACACCTTTGAAAAATGTCTGAAAACCATACCACAGGTTGATCCAAGACTTGTGAGTAAAATTGGGTATATGGAATTACTTGTGAGCCATTGATAGTTGTGCTCTTACAAAGTAACAAATAATCATTATGACCAAGGGTTTTAGTGTACTAGCTTTATTCATACCATTGATCATACCAGATAATGCACTCTTTCCCAGAAAGTGTAACTAAGTTCCACTCAGCATAGTTACAGCATAAACCACATGTTGGCTCTGTGGATGTGGAACAAACAAAAATTGGCTAGCTGCCCTAGTAGACAAGTATATTCAGATGTGAGCAGCCAGCCACCACATGGCCATTCCTTTAGCATAGCAGTTATCAATATGGAAAGTGGGATTGTGAATTTGCTTTTGTGCAAATATCATTGAAAAGGTATGAATCTATCTCTTTTTCCCTCCTGCTAAGGGTTAATTATTGGACCTTCTAGCTTTGGTTGGCAGCCATTCTAGGAGAAGGAAAACTCTGACACCAAGGCTAAACCTCTACCCTGGAAAAACCTAAATTAGGAAAGATATGAATCTATCTTTTCTTTTGCTAACTAGGGGTTATTAACAAGGCAGTCTGGGCTCTCTAGTTTTAGTTGGCAGACAGTCTCCAAATTAAAACTTACTTTCTATGGAAGCCACAGCAGTAACAACCTAGCTTTGTGTGGCTCTGGCCCTAAACTCAGCAGAGGAATCTACATGGTTAACACGTATGCGCACATGTGTATGTTAAAGTTCTCAGAATAGATCTGTAAAGAAAACATATTGAATAGTATAGACAATCAGAAATTGTTGACATGGGGGGGGGGGAGAAAAAGTTACTAATATCCAGAAAGAGGCTTTAGCAGGAATGCCTCTTAAAGGTTTTTTAATTTTATGTAACTACACAGCATTTTGCTTTTAGTTTATCATCACTTGTTTTGATCAAGTCAAAAGATGAAACATTTCAGCAAGGACTAAGTACTATTTTTCGATTGTCTATTTTATTCACACACACAAACATACACACATATAAATATATATGTGTGTGTGAATAAAATACACATTATATTCCCATATGAAGTTTGCTACTACTTGGTCAAGCAGTTATGAAGGATATGTAAAGATACATTAAAACAAGTTGATATAATTTTTTATTTTTAAACTCTTATTCTGATAACCAATCTAGAAGAACTACTCTATCCAAAAGTGTGTGGAATACAGCTCCACTCTGTAAAAACGTGAAAAAATATGAAAATCAACACCTCATGTGGTGAAGCTGTGGTCTTGTATTCCTGTAGGGTTCTGTAGAGCTAAAATATATTACACTTGCAATGATACACAACATTGTACATGCCAAATCCTTTTAATTCACTAATTTCACCAGTTCAGACCTTTTATAAATAGGTGCTTATGGCCATATCACATTAAATTACTGGTTCCCATACAATTACCGAAGATAAGCAACATCAAGGGTGGTCACCACCTAGATGGTGACCACTTGGGAATACCAGGTGCTATAAGTTTGGATGTGCAGGTGGTGTAATGGATAATGGTTCAGAATTGATAATTGGAGAGCTGAGTTCCAATTCCAGTTGGGTTTGTTATATTCACTTACATGCAAATAACTTTGAGGAAGGAATCCAGCTCTTCTCCCCACAGCTATGGGTTAATTAGTAAGACTTGTATCACAAAAACCATTATCTCAAAAAAATAAAAAAAAATGGGTTACAAAATATTTAGATTTTAACATAAAATAACCCATAGAGGTTATTTTATAGCACTAAGCAAAAGCACCCATGCCACTAAACAAATGCACCCATTTACAACAATGACCCGCTATGCCACATCCACAGGGTTGAATCATCCACATTCCCTTCATATTCCATTAGTAAGAAGGAAATTTCAATCAGGCAGCTTCTTCCCAAAAACTGTTATTTTATTGAACAGATTCGGAAGAGGAAGCTTCTCAATAACCACAATATTAACATATTTCAAGTCTAGAATCAACTGTAATCTATCCTACATATCCTCATAATCTGAAATTACTTCCTCCTCTTACATCCATGCAACAACCATATACAATAACCTTTACTTTGAGTGGCTCTTGGGCCTTGTATTGGGTGAACATTTTAGTAAAAATAATATTTACTCTAAGCAGTTGTTTCTTTATTAGATTTGCATATATCAAAAGGGTTTTAGCAGAATTGTCACAAAACTGATAGGTTTAAACATTTTTGGCATCATTTATTTTATATATGGCATCTTATAATATTTACATTATTTGTTAGATTTTCAAAAAATGTCAACATTTATTACTTCCCTTTAATCCTAAGTTTCATTAGAATAATTTAATTGTCAAAGCCATAAAAAACAATTGATTTTAAAGCTGAATATGTAAATTAGTTATCTCTTTTGAACAAGGCTCACTAAGTTGGGTAAGATACAAGAAATATTCTGGTATAAATAACTGATGTTAATATTGCTTGCTTAACTTTCTACAAAGTAGGAGAGAGGGAAGATTTTTTTTTTTTTTTTTTTTTTTATAGCCAAATTCACTTCCCAAAATCTAACCAGATAATAAAACATCAGATTTTGGTAGAAGAGCTTCTTGGTTGAACCAAGAACTTTTTAGCATCTCTTTGTGCATCACTTACTTCCTCTTACGCCAAAAGCTGTGATTAAACTGCTGGGGTTGTTGCCACATTCCAAGCAGAAAATATCTTTATTTGAATAACTAACCAATTTAATTATAAAAGCCATTAACAGAAAAACCACTTTAAATCTCATCAAAGACCAGAAAGGAAATCAATAACAAAACAATTATTTTAAAAAAAATGATTTTTGAAGTTGAATATGCAAGTGTTATTTCTATTAAGCAAAGACCAATAAGTTAAACAAGATATAAGAAATATGCTTGTAATTATAAATAATAAAATCACATTTTTGATGCAGTCCTATTAAGTTCAGTTCCAAGAGGCCATCCATCTAGTCAGCACTTCTTTCACTGCACTAAAGTGTATGTCAGGGTTAATGCCAAATGTTGTATCCCAATGGGTAAGCAACAAGGAAGGTCAGCAATGTTTGTCTCCCGCCTTGTGTATATCTGAGAGTAACACTTTAAACCCAGACATGTGATTTAAGTGGAAATACCGATAAATACCAAACCACATTTATTTACTATCACAGTTTTATATATTTACACACACATACACAAAAGATCTGTATTGCTGTCATATCTGAGTGTTAAGTCTCTTAAATTTTTATTAATTTATTGCCCATGCCTGCTTTATACATTACTTGCTTCACCGAAAATCTAAATGCTGAGGTCATTAACTCTTTATTGTTAAAAAATGTCTTTATTTGAATAACTAAGCAATGTAATCATAAAAATCATCAACAAAATAATCAATTAGTTTATAAAGCTCACAAAAGATTAGATAGAAAATGAATAACAAATTATTTTTTTATACAAATGGGTTATCTTCGTTAAACAAGGACCACTAAGTTGGACAAAATATAAGACACATGCTTGTAATTATCTCTATCTATAAAAGGTAGAATGTGTGTGTAACGAATGCACAGCCGCAATTTTCGACGGATTTGCACCAAAATTTACATGCACATGCTCCAAGTTAGCGGGAAGGCCAAGACTGACTTTGCATTTCCCAACTCCCATCAATAGTGGAAATAATCGATTTTTTTCATGCTTCTGCGGCACTTTTCATGTAGTTTGCAGCCATTTTGTACTGGCCAGAGTGAGAGCCTATAGCTGGTTGCCATGAATAGGCAGGAAGATTCTATTGGTCAGCGTGAGAGCCAACAGCTGACTGACACGAATGTTAGCTAGCATGCAAAAAAAAAAAAAAATCAATAGCTGCATTCCTCACAAGTGGGGGAAAATTTAAATCTGCATGGCACTTTACTCTAATTGGCTCATTCGCTTGCTTAACTCAATGTTGATTCTGATTCCGCAGAACTGGGTTGGGTGTGAAAAAGTATTTGTTGTTAACATTCTTTTTCATTCGTTTTTTCCAGTTACGGTCCTTTTTTAAGCTGATCGCTTTGTGTTCATTTTGTTTAGTTCTTTTTTTCAGAACAGATTTAATGTTTAGTATAGAGCTTAGAAAAAATTCACAGTGTGAGATAGGCAAGAAGTAAGGCATGTAGCAACATCAGCACGGCAAAGGGCACTCCTTTAACGGCAAGGAAGGGCAAAAATATTTTAAGTCAAGTGATATCAATTGCTGTATGAGTTGTATGATTTTTGAATCAAGCACAGGCAACGCCGGGGCCATGCTGCTAGTAAATAATAAAACTGTACTACTTATATAGTTCCTATTATGTTCAGTTAATATTAATTTTCTCTTAAACTTTATTGTTCTTGTTTTCAGATGCTCAGCTTTTCACGGAGTTGTTCTAAATATTCACAACTCTATGCCCAAAACTTAAAAAATCATGAATTAAAACCAGAAGAAGTTAAAAACAAGGTGAGTCCAACAATATTTAAGGTTTACTCTAAAAGTAATGCCATTTTTTTTTTTTTATTAAATTGGGCCATAGATGTTGGCAATATAATGCTTCCTATTCTATTATGTTGGCCCATAATGTCAGATGCAAATGTTGGCGGTATGGCCATAGAAGTTGAACCTACCCACAAATAACCCATATTTGTTTTGCTTTTATTTCTAACAGATAGCAATTGAGTTTCAGTCTAGAAAAATGTCTTCTGACATGAAAGTGCATATGAAGCAAATTGAAATGCTCCATGCAGAAAACAATTACACTCATTGGCATTCATTTATGCTTATGGAACACTTATGAAGACCAAACAGTGGATGTATGCACAATAGCATTGATGGCATTTTGGCATTGATGACAGCTATATATATATATATATATATATATATATGACAAGTCAGTGAAGGATGCATGAACCAGGCATGGCTTGTCCAGTGGTAATCTTCCTTGAGGCTGTGTAACTGTTGAGATTAACTATTCACTCTAACAGACTATGGCTTTGTTTTGTGGTGGCAACTTTCCTGAAAGGCAGGAATTCTCTAACAAAAAGGACAAACTATGTTGATGAAGCTATCAACAATTTACTAATAAGAAAATATAAAAATTGCATACATCACACTCATGCAGTTCAGCTTCAGTAAATTTATTCTTCCCTTTAGGCATTGATAGCTATCTAATGGGGACAAATGTAGGTTTGTTGCTGTTAGAAAATTCAACAAAAATGGCTAGCAATGTTATCCCCAATCTGCCAAGCATGACTCTCTATGTCTCTCTTTCTGCCTATCTGTATCTCTGATTGCCTGTCTTCTGTCTCTGTCTGTGCTTATAAGGATAACAGTTCTGACAGACATTTTGATTAATTAGGTATTCGCATAAAGTCGCTCTTTGTTAAACTATTTCCCATTAGCACTGTCTGATCTGTTTTTAAAATATCAAACACCAGACATTTTAGTAAGCTTTCTGTATACAATTTGCCACAAAGAATTCTAAATAAACATTCCTCAATTGCATTTGGGTTTTACAGAATTTTGGCAAACCATAAATCACATAATCATGACTTCCTTTGGTTTGTGGGTCTAGGTGTTGTATCTTAGTTATATTAGATTTTACTAAATTTTACTTGATTAATTTTAAGTTCAAATCCTCCCGATGCCTTCCTCATAAGTATTTTATAAGTTGAAATTAATATTTTTAACTTAGTTTTTCTCATCAGGTTTCAACCCTGTTAACCATTTTCTTATATTTTTCTCTATTTAATATCTATCGAATTGTATACAAAATATTTAGATTTCAGCATTAAATAACCCATACTGCTAAATAAAAAAATCAAGCCAAACCAATCCAACTAATATCTCTAATCCTTCACTATATTTATTGTAAAATATACAATTGTGGCACAAGGCCAAAAAAGGGGAGGGGAGTGAGGTTGGTCATCACTAACTATCTTATACCTAGCTAATCCAACTCATGACCCATTTACTCATTACAATTTTCGCATTCACCATAAAAACTCATCTGTCACCAATCAATCCTCCATACACCATAATACAATATTCTCTCAGGGTGACCTACAAGAAAACACACCCCATGATGTTAAATTAAAGGATAAAAATATATATGTACAATTCTAAATATGAGAGGGGAGGGGGGTGAACCCAATAATCAGACTAATTGACAACACAAAATAAATGAAACATAACTGATGTTAGTAGGGCCTGTCCAACCCTCAAAAAAGGGGAGTCACAGTATCTCTCAATATTTCAAGTTACTAAACAATCTTTCATGCACTAATATTACTCAGACAGGACAAGCTGTAAAACAACAAATCAATTAATTAGTCCTCTACAGCTTTTGTTTATTGTTTTATATTATTGACTGATTTGTTAAAATTGTTGGTGAATAATAAGATTAAAATAAAATGTAAAAAAAATACAATGACAAGGGAATTCTCTTCTCAAGCATTATTAGGCTTATGGCCATATCATGCTGAAACAGCGGTTCACATCCAATCACTGAAATTAAGCAATATTGAGCCTGGTCAGTACCTAGATGGGTGACTGCTTGAGAATACCAGGTGCTGTAATATTGGATGTTCTAGTGGTGTAATGCATAACGGCTTGGAAATGGAAATCGTGGAGCCAAGTTCTAATTCCAGTCAGGTTACCTATATTCACTTACATGCAAATACACTTTGGAACGCTATGAATCTACGACTTCTCCAAGCAATGGGTTAAATAGTAGGACTTTATCGGAAAATCATTATTATTTTAACCCAAAAAGTGCTGACAATCAAAAATATTTGCTGACTTTAAATAACCTGCAAATGGTTGATAAGCCATAAAAAACAAATCATTCAAAATGAAACATCACTATTTCATTGTCAACATAATGTTATTTTTAAAACTCTCCTTCAACATGTTCAATGTTAATTAACATTTTCATTAATTTTTTTGTTAAGCACCAAATGACATTGTCATCCTTTTTTGAATTGTGCAACTTGTCTTCATTTTATCCTTCACGTGTTACTGTGAAGAATATCTGTTTTTCAGCAAAGCTATTTCTTTTTCTGTGGAGTCCCCATTGTTCTATTCTTGACCTACGTATGTCATTAAAAAATTGCTAAGATAATGTTTAAAAAAAGAAAATAAAATGAAGATATGTCTATAGTTATAAAACCTATGATGCCTAAACATCTTCTCTCATTTATAGGAATTTTATGATTTTATATATAAAATGACGAAATTAAGACCTGAAGGGCTGCGTAAGATCTGGACTGTTGCAGATGTTCTCTTTTGTGAGGTAAGTTTCAAGATGATTTTTATCTTCATTTGAAAATTTGTTGAATGATTAATTTATACAGTGTGTGGCAGAAATACCTCCTGCATAATGGTAAGACATTAGTGGCGATGGTGTCTTCATCTAGCTAATGTCTTACCATTATGTACCATTGGTAAGAATGAGAAATTGGAAAACAGTTTAATTCCAGTCAAGTTCATTACATTCACTTACTTATGAGGGGGATATGAATCCATATATTCTCCCTACACCTAAGCCCTTCACTTCAGCTGTCATTTTGACAAATTTGATTTTTAAACCATGGAGGCGAAAGACATGACTTATAATCATTAGTTGTAATTATCGTTTAAGTTTTCATTAGCACATCTTTCCAACTTCGGGTCCTGATTTTGTAATCAGAAATTTACCAGCTTTTTTCTTGACAGCTACTTAGCAAGTATCGCCTTGTGCATTTTATTTGCTTGGCCATACTTATGACACTTTGGTTTGGTTGTTATCTAAAGAAATTCTATTTCTCTAGCGATTTACACTTTCCACTTTTTGACAGGCAAATTTCACCTGCGTTTTCAAAACTGTAAACCCTATATCTCACTTGACCTCTTATGCAAGACCTGTTTCGTAACCTGTACTTTAGTAAGCGGTCATAAATTAATTTCTCTATTTATGCCTTGTTTAGCAAAATTCTCAGCTGAGCTCAAATGTCCTTCCACCATCTCTTCCCACTCTTTGTGTGTTTAAATTATCCAGATGGCCTCTTCATTTATATCTCTCAGAACAATAAAGCTGTTTTACTTCAAGTTGTCTCAATTTCCTTCCTTCAGTTATATTCAAAAAAGAGAAAACAAACCCTCTGAATTTAATATAATCTGACTTTGTCTCTCACTATATCTATTGTGATATACCTTAACCCTTCCAGCATCTTCTAGTGTCACAATAATAGTGTAAATTATCATTGAGCAGTGTTTTGTTTTGTTTTTCTTTGAGTGAAATGAAAGATTGTTACTTACCACTTCAAGTCAAGAGTGTTGCTGTAATTGCTAAAAAATCAGTCACTGCATTTACTTACTTTTTTATGGAAGAGTGAAGAAGCTGGTGAACCAGAAATTGTGTGTGATCAGAATATTAGTAACTCAACTCTCCAAGGACACATGGCTCATTGGATAAAAGTGTTGGTTGAAATAATCCCATAACTTGACCCAAAGAGTTGTGAGTTCAATACCTGGCCACAACAGAAGTGAACAGTTTCATATGCATACTAGAGAAAACTTAATGAAGAAAAGATTTCTTCTTTGCAGGAGGATCCACTTCCTGATCCAGCATGCTTTTACCGCTCGGCTACAAAGAGCTTCACAATAAAGCAGGGTTCTATTTTGCCTTAAAATACACTCACTCATTTAGATTTCTCTCAAAACACATATTTGTTTAGTTTTATATCCAAAACAAACAAAGCAATTTCTAAAGAACTAATGGTTTTTATTTTTAATTATTTCAAATGTTATATTTAGTGGATACCCATGTTTGCATAGATGCTCCGTTCATTTTAAACATTATGTATTTACATCCAACCTAAGAAAAATCCTAGTTCAATAAAGAAGACAAAGCCATTACAATCTGCATTTTATTATCTTGTTCTCATTTTATTGTATTATTCTAATGAGATTTTGGCAAACCATTTTTATGTTTTGTATTTGAAATTTATTTTGAGATTCTTCAAACTAGTAATGTTAATATTAGCCATTTCCTTATAATATAGACATTTCTTTATATAATATACTGTTTAATAAATAAACAGAGCATCTACTCAAATATGAGTATCCACTAAAAATAATATTTAAAGTGATAAAAATCTGTCAAATTAATAAATGAAAATCCATTACTTTTTTTTTTTTTTTTTTTTTTTTTTTTTTTTTTAAATGTGTGTGTGTGTGTGTATGGACTCTCCCGTCGGTTTCGACGTATGAGGATCTGCCAGCTTATTGATTCAGTTATGAAAGTTTATGCTATAATCTTAAGTGGCATTTAAGACCCGCTAGTGATTTACAAAGGAGGCCACATATGGAGCAGGTGTGAGAATTGTGAGATGAGGTTACTGTTAGATTAGCTAACCTTTTAGATCTTGCTCTCGCTTCTTGAAGATGATTCAGACAAGCAGATTGAAAATTGTTGAGTCCACTAAAACACATTGATCTCCATTCTACCCGCTCCAAAGCTAAGTGCTCAAGGGTGTTATGTGGTATATTAACTGCTGACAAGTTGCTTTTCAGCTTGTCTTTGTATCTTAGCCATGGGCGTCCTACATTCCTGTAGCCCTGATCTAACTGGCTGTACATTAGGATCTTGGGTATCCTGTCATCAGACATTCTCAAGACATGACCAGTCCAGCGTAACTGAGACTGTATAATAAGTCTCGATTCCTCCAATATTACACCTGTTAAACAGGTCTACGTTAGATGTCCTATCTTGAAACTCCACAGATTGCACGCATATATATATATATATATATATATATATATATATATATATATATATATATATATATCTCCAGGTAAGATTGAGTAGGCACACTGTTTATTTTAAATAGTATTTATTTTGTCTACTGATCTGTGTACTAGAGAAAACTTAAAGAAAATGGTAGGATTTAAACATTTGTCCCCCTTTGCAGGAGGAACCGCCATCTGATCTAGCATGTTTTTACCGCTCGGCTACAAAGAGCTTCACAATAAAGCAAGGTTCTATTTTGCCTTTAAAGTACACTCACTCATTCAGATTTTTTCTTGAAACACATCTGCTCAGTTTTATATCCAAAATGTAAACAAAGCATTTTCTAAAGAATTAATGAACTTTTTAAAATTTTTAATCCAACATCTTTTTATTACTTTAAGTCAAAAATAGAACCTTGCTTAATTGTGAAACTCTTCATAGATAAGCAGTCAAAATACACCAGATTAGATGGTTCCTCCTGAAAATAGAGATGTCAGTTTGAATTCTGTGGGGTCAAACATTTTCTTAAGTTTTCTCTAGTACAAACACTAAGAGAAAGAAAAAATACTGTTTAAAATAAAAGGAATGTCTACTCAAATATGGGTATCCACTAAAAATAAATTTTGAATAAAAATTTTGTATTTTAATTAACTGCTATCAAAAATAAGATTAGCTAGCAATGGTTAATGTTTATGCAAGAAATCATTGTCTCTTTTGATAATACTGTAATGATCCATTTAAAAATTCAATATAACCTTTGATGATTTGAAGCAATTGATTTTCATTTTGCATCTTTTGTTTAAATATTTAATTTTATTTATTTACAGAAGACACATAATTACACTTTGCCAAATTGGGTGAATGATACAGTCTTTGAGAGACTTCAAAAAATAAGAGCTTATAGTTTTTCTTTGATGTTTGAAACTGAAGAATTGGCAAAATTTAAGGGAGGTGAGATGCTTAAATTTTTTTTACATTTTTTTAAATTATACATTTTTATTATGAAAATATTTTAATACTTTCACGGAATCGAAATCAAAATTATGATCTGCTTTAGTTGTGTGTACAACTAAAGCATTGTTAAAATTACCGAGACGAATAATATAATTTATTATCCAGTAGTATTTGAACATGCACCTTTGCAGGAGAAACTCTGCTATGAATAAAATATATAAACTACTTGGGAAAGGCATGGATAAGTCTCTTGCCCTCAACTATGTGTTAAATAGCAAAGTAAACATGGTTATGTAGCCTTGGGTGGCAATCTAAGAGGAAGACTATTTTGAATTCAAAACCTGAGAGAAGGCAGTGGCAAACCACTCCACTATCTTTCCCAAGAAGTCATGTCAATTCTCAAATATTAAAGTGGAGAGTCCTGATCACTTTCATCTTGAAGTGACATATTATTCAAAAAAAATAAATGCCAACTCCTGAGCATTAAGTTTGCAAAGTAATATTTTGAAATAAAAAAAAAAGGATTTTCTCCAAATCAAAGTTCCCTGTCTTTCCATTAACTCTCAACTGATCCAGTTTCTAGTCTTTGTTTTATTTTATCTTTTTTTTTTTTTTTTTTAAACTTATTCGTTTAGAATAACTCCTCATTTAGATTGTTCTTCCTAATACTGTCAATCCCTAACATGTTGTTTCCCTTTTTACTGTCACGTATTTGAATCTCCATTAGTCAATCACTTAACTCCATCCTGTTTGGAAAACTACTTGTATAATCTTTGCTTATCATAAACTCATTGTTACAGGCTTGTTTGTTACAAAATAAATACTTTGTAATTGACCTGTATTATTCAGATGTCAATAGTTTTTAGCTTATACACAAAAACAGGATTTTGTACATGTATTTCCTCAGACATTATCATCTTCCTCTCTTACATTTCCTCAATTTGGCCTTGGGCTATACAAAGCTAAGTTAATTATCAATGAAATGCATTTGAAACAATTTCCTTTAGAAAATTTCGGAAGTTTTATAATGCAGTAGTACATTGGAGGCAATTTTTGAAAAGCAGTAAAACATTAAACAGTTTTTCTAAGCAGTAATACATTGGAAACATTGTACGCAATTTTTATAATCCAGTGATACATTGGAAACAGTGAAAGCAATTTTTCTAATTGGAAACAATTTCCTTTAGAAAAGTTCTTCCAAATTTTTGTAAAGCAGTAATGCTTTGGAAACAGTTTCTTTTAGAAAATTCTAGAAGTAAATTTTCTAAAGCAGTAACTATGGATTAAATAAATATAAAAATATATTTTAATTAATCTAAATGAATTCCTCTGGAAATGATTTAATAGTAAAATTAATTACAGATTTTATGAAAAAATGAACTGCTGTAAACAATTATACATTGATACTAGTAGCTTTTTACGTTTTGAAAACTAATCCAAAAGTATCCATCTATAATAGTAAAAATGTCATCTCTGCAATTCAGGCAGAATGAAGGCTAAATAATACAACATCAAAACTTAGACATTTATGTTTGAATTATACAACCATAATTTTTTTTTTTTTTTGTCTGTAATAAAATTTGAAATTAAGAATGAAGGAGTTTTAGCAAACTTGCCTGCAATAAGATGTAGTATCAAAAGGACTATTTTTCCCATGACTCCATTTTTTTTTTTTATAACTATCTTCACTCTTTGGCAATGTTTATCATATTAAAAAGTGATTATTAGAATTGTAATAAAAACTGAACATATGATCAAAGTGAATTTACACATATTTTTTTCCTTCTTGAGAATTTACAACAAAAATATTAAACACTTTATTTATTAGATTATTTACAAGAATAACTTTATATTTACAACATTCTAAAAAAAAATAATACAATTAAAACTAATGCAATACAATATTTATCATTTACCAATTTATAAAAAAATAAATATAAAAACAATTTCAATTCATAAATTTATAAACATTTACTAAATTATTGAAATATGTGAACCAACTATAAGGAAATCCTTATTTACCATTTTATAAAATTTGAATCATTTGGCAATTAGCTAATGTTTTGCCAACCGTCCCAATAAATAATATAAATAGGGTAAATAAAAATCTAATAAAATTTTTTCCTGGTGCCCTGACTACATGAATTTAAGTGTGCTACTAAACTGGCATCTAAGTCTCACACTTCTACTGTTGAAATAATTAAATGTAACCATCACTTCTACTCCAGCAGTTTCTTTTCTCACGCTTCCTGACAGATGAACTCCCTTCCGCTTACTTGCTTCCTTGAAAACTACAATCTTCAAAAATTTAAATGCAACAGTAATTACCATCTTCTGCCAGTTTGAACCCCGTTTTATCCTTTCCACAATCCCCACCTATACCTGGTCTTTTCTCTCACTTTCACTCTCTGTAACCCCCTACATACTAGTGTCACTACAATCTTCTAAAATTTAAATGCAACCTCAGTTGCTATCTTCTGTTGACTTGAACCCCCGTTCATCTTTTATCCTTTCCTCATTCCCCTCTATACCCAGTCTTTTCTCTCACTTTCACCCTCTTTAACCCCCCCCCCTGCATACTAGTGACATTCCTGGCTAACTTGGGGTGAAATGATTAAAAATAAAGATTATTATTTTTGTTGTCAATTCTCAAGAACAAAGGAAATGTATAGAATTAACTTTCAATTCATGTTTAGGTTTTATTACAATACTAATCATTGCTTTTTAAAACAACAAACATCGCTGAGGAGTGAAGGTAGTTAAAATAATAGCAGTGTTAAGGGGAAAAAAATGACTTTTTGACACTATAGCTTATTGCGGACATGTTTATCCATGTTTGTCAGAGTTTTGTCATGAAGATTATAAATTTGCAAATGGATAAGTGATTATTTAAAACTATAAAGACTAATTCCATGTTTTATACAGTGTAACCCGGATATAAGAGAGTTGTCGGGACCGGATAAGAAGTCTCTTATATCCGGGTTTGGTTTATTTTATATACATTAACACAGGCTCTAATTTGGGACCAGAGAAAATCTCTCTTATATCCGGGTTTCTCTTATATCCGGGTTTCTCTTATATCCGGGTTTGGTTTATTTTATATACATTAACACAGGCTCTAATTTGGGACCAGAGAAAATCTCTCTTATATCCGGGTTTGGTTTATTTTATATACATTAACACAGGCTCTAATTTGGGACCAGAGAAAATCTCTCTTATATCCGGGTTTGGTTTATTTTATATACATTAACACAGGCTCTAATTTGGGACCAGAGAAAATCTCTTATATCCGGGTTTCTCTTATATCCGGGTTTCTCTTATATCCGGGTTTGGTTTATTTTATATACATTAACACAGGCTCTAATTTGGGACCAGAGAAAATCTCTCTTATATCCGGGTTTGGTTTATTTTATATACATTAACACAGGCTCTAATTTGGGACCAGAGAAAATCTCTCTTATATCCGGGTTTCTCTTATATCCGGGTTTCTCTTATATCCGGGTTTGGTTTATTTTATATACATTAACACAGGCTCTAATTTGGGACCAGAGAAAATCTCTTATATCCGGGTTTGGTTTATTTTATATACATTAACACAGGCTCTAATTTGGGACCAGAGAAAATCTCTTTATATCCGGGTTTCTCTTATATCCGGGTTTCTCTTATATCCGGGTTTGGTTTATTTTATATACATTAACACAGGCTCTAATTTGGGACCAGAGAAAAATCTCTCTTATATCCGGGTTTCTCTTATATCCGGGTCTCTTATATCCGGGTTACACTGTACCAGCAAAATTCCATTCCATTCCTCTTTTGTGCTATGGATTCTTTTTTGCCTAAGCCATAAATGGCATCAATGAAATTTATCATAAAACAAATATTTATAGGGCTTTTTTTTCTTTTTTTTCTTAATCATTTCACCCCAAGCAAGGTGATAATGCCACTAGGCCACAACTTACTTACAGGGAATGAAAGAATAAGAAATCTTTAGTGAGGAAAGGACAACAAAGGAACATGGTTCAGCTAGATAGACAGAAGATTGCAAACAATGTTGCACTTAAATTTTTGAAGATTGTAGTTATCAGAGAAGCAAGAAATTCGGAGTTCCACAAATGAGAAGTGCGAGAAAAGAAACTAATAGAAGTGGCAGTTGCATGTAATAAAACATTGATACCTAGTTGCCAATCTAGTAGCAAGCTTAAATTCATGCAGTTGAGGCATTGGAGGGAAAAAAACTCATCAGAAGAGTTTCCATGAAAATATTTGCAGAAAAGACAGAGGGAAGCCATGTCACATCAGTGAGAAAATGACTGAAGTCAAGATGTCAGGTCAAGATCGACCACATTAGACCACTCTTTAAATTTTGTCATGTTATAATAGTTTAATTTATCTTTGTTAATGTTATAACTGAACTTTTTTATTACTAATATACACAAAACACCATAAATGTTAAAAAAACACAATGCATTTTGTCAATCAAAAAAAATTGGAGATCAAAACTGAACCCAAATTCGTATCTCCTCAAGAAATTTGTGAGTTGTCAAGCTAATTGCATTCACTGCACTAAAATAAAACGACAAGGTCTGATTGGTTTGAAGTAATGGGTGTGGCAAATACTGATTAGCTGATTGACAGCCAATAGGCATCAGCCCTAATAATTAAATTTTCAAAACGTATTATTTCTCTTACTTCATTTACTCCCATTTATCAGAACAATCAGTTTTCCTAGCTGCTGTACCTTCTTAATCACCTTTAAACTCATCCAACTCTTTCCAAATCCTCTGATTGATACCCAAACACTCTGAAATGTTTGTATTGGAATTTCTGGCATGAATGCCAAACAGTACAGCATGCTGTTTCCAAATTTTTGTCAGAGTGAATTATGTCATGGTACTCTCTTTCTCACAGATGGTGCACAACTGATTCTACTATACTGTACAGTTGACAGAATCGAAAACAAACAATGCGCATGCACAAAATTAAAAATATAAAATGACCACAATTTACCCATTGCACTCTGTTGATAATAAAATAAGTTTACCTTTTTTATTAAAATATTTTCACCTGACCTTAGCAAATGTGATTGACAGCTGAAGAATGCCCGAGAGGTAACTGATTAAAATATTGGGATAAAGACAATAAAATGGGATGTTTCTTTTTTTATTTTTTTACCTAAAACAATGCATGACACTAACAATATCAATTCTTTAAAATTCAGGCAGAAATTGTCATATTCATACAAAGTTGTTTTTATTTTTCTTTATCAAATAGGACCACTGCTGAAAGAAATGATATCAAATATGAATGCAAAAAAGTTAGGGACCATTAACACAAAACTTTTCATGTATTCTGGGGTGAGTATGATGTTCCTATGATTTTAAATTCATTACAAATTAATGGCTGAATTATATAATTTCTTTTCTATTTAATTAGTTCAGTCAATATAAACTGATTGTCAAAGTAAATATGAATATAATTTTCTTGCAATTCCATTATGATTCAAAAAATGATATTACTATTAATTCTAGTGGTTTTAATAGTGAGATTAGCTGTCTCTATACAGAAAACATTTACTATTCATTGACAAAACAGTTATGGTCAGTTAAAACTTATAAAATATTTCTCTTAAAACGGTTTTTCAAGAAAATTGGCTTCTCAAGTCCACTAGCTGTTATTGCTCTTTCTAGTATTGATAGGAGTTTTCTTCCTAACCTTTTTGTTTAAGGTCATGTGGAAAATCACCATCTTGGTTATATCATTATTTTTTTCTACTAGTTATATGTACTATCCATTTTAGTACTTGCTGCTGCTGGAAGTTTTCAAGTGTTACGGTTTTTGTTATTTAAGACCCTGAAATCTGATAGTGTTGTCTGCTTTAAGACCTAATTGAGTAATTTAGTTGGGGCCATTTTAATCATTGATTTGAGAAAATGATTATATATAGCTGGTGGATGTGCAGGTGGTGCAATGACTAGCAGTTCAGAATGAGAAATTGGAGAGACGAACACAAATTCCTTTTAGGTTCATTATATTCATATATTGGGAAAGGTGTGAATCCATCTCATCTCTCTCCAGCTAAGAGTTGATTTTTATCAGGAAAAATCATTGTTATTTGCAAAAATTTGTTAATGCACTATTTACTTGCAAAAAAAAAATAATTACAATCCAAAATAAATGTATATAGCTGATAGTTTAGACATTTCTGAACAGGTTAGATGCCATGCATGACATCCATATGAGAGTCTATATCTGACAAGGCTATTTCAGAACATGACTCAAGTTCTTGTGTTAATGTTTTGGCTTTGTAGTATCATTCAGTGCTGTAAAAACATACCTCTATAACAGTCTATCCTATGTCCCTTAGTGGACACAAATAAATGATAGCCACATATCAGACCATTGGCAGTGGGAGATTAGTTGCATAATTAGATTTGAATGATTGTTCTCAGTATCCATTGTAACCTAATCGGTCAGAGAACTCCTATTTTAATAAAATGTACATTTTCCACTGACATGAAGTGGAGTGATTCACTATGTTGTGCCAGACAGTTTTTCTTGACAGAATTCATCTTACACATTTCTAAATCTATCATTCATTCATGCCTTGAATATTGCTGCCATATATGCTCCTACTATATCTTGAGTCTCTTGACGAAATCAAAGAGTCTGTAATGTAATTGATCCTGACCTGTCATCTCGACTTGAGTAACTTTCCCATCATCATTTTCATGGCAATTGTTCTGATGAGCATCCCTCGACTGCATGAATTTATGCGTGCTGCTAGATTGTCAGCCAGGTCTCATCATTTTACTATTGAAGTAGCTAACTAATATCTTCTATTCTAATAGTTACTTTTCTTGCTTGTGGAACTCTTTTCAGGCTTCTGCAAAAATTTAAATGCAATGTCAATCGTCATCTTTTGTCTTCCTGATCTCTATTCTTTTATTGTCCTTTCTTCTCATTCTCTTTCACTCCCAATAACACCCTGTATTTTAGTGGCATTATCACCTTCCTCAGGATGAAATGATTTAAAAACAAACAAATTTGTCGAAAGATTGTTCTTAATTTTGGGCCCATGCTATTTACTAACAAGTATACAATGAATATCTGTGCAATACAAAGCAATTATCATTAAAATAATAAAAATTCTACTAAAAAATTTAATTCACATTACTTCATCTAAGAAATTCAGGCATTACTCCTATAGACTGGTCCATTGGACACCCCCACTTCTAAATCAATAACAAATCAATATTTTTTGATTCCAACAAGTATGGCAGCTTAAGGGGGGGGGGTCGAAAGAATATTAATCTATAAAAATTATCAAAAAAAATTCCCTATATTTTTTTTTTTTACAAGTGGACCAGTCTATTTAAGTAGTGCCAATTTCTTTAACCCTAGAAAGCCTGACCACAGAAACAACATCAATATTTTTCAATTCTGACAAGTGTTGTTGTTGTCTAAGGAAGGTCTAAAAAATGGTATTCTACAAAAATTATTTTCAAAAAATTTTCTTTTTTGTTGAAATTCAGATATTATATCTAATATAATTTACTGCAATAAAAAGCAAGAGAAATAATATGAAAGAAAAACTGTTCAAAATTAACAATTGACTATGCTTCAACTAATGGTTTGCTTCTTATCAAATGTTTTTGGAATTTTTTATTTATTCCAGCATGACACAACACTGGCTGCACTGATGCACAGTCTGAAAGTTTTCAACAATCTCAGCCCTCCTTATACAGCATGTCTCATTATGGAACTTCATCAGAAAACTGATGGAGAATATTTTATCCGTTTGTTATATAAAAATTCAACAACTAATCTTAACAATTACATGAAAGAGCCACACCTTTTGACAATTCCAGGTAAGACTTATGGTTTAACACCTTTTTTTTTTTTTTTTTTTTTTTTTTTGCTTTTCTCACTGGAATTTCATAGATAGTTGTGGTCACTTTTTTATATTAAACTCCAGGAAGAAAAGACCCTTATGTGTGCTTTAGTTTTTACATTTCCATTTGTTACATAGAAGGCTATAATGAATTATTTGATTATCAAATTGTCTATTTATTTCTTGTAAACAACTAGATTATTACAAGAGTAAATAATATTAGGTTACTTTCCAACCTAATATTTACTCCAGTTCAGTTACATTTGAAGATGGAAAAAAAAACAAACAAATCCTTTCTTGGGCTTACTTGATATATTTAATCAATATTTTTCCCTCATTATTAATAACATAATCTCATCTATTTGGTAAATTATTGATACCCAAGACACAAAATCTTTCAAGTTTCTATATCAATACAAAACTGTTCAGTTAAATTTTTCCTTCTAAAAAATGTTGCAATGATCTGAAAAGATGAAAGTCAGATGGAGCAAAGTCAGGAGAGTAAGGAGGATAAGTCAAAAACATCCAAAATATGTTTTGGCTTTTAAATAAAAAAAAAAGTAAAGAAAAAAAACAAACGAAACAAATGTTAGACATTTCTGAATGTGTTTGACTTCATGCATAACATTCATATGAGAGTCTATATCTGAAAAGTCTATTTAAGAATATGACATTTAGTTATTATAGCCAATTGTTTAGACATTTCTGAATGGGTTGTATGCCATGCATGACATCCATATGAGAGTCTAGATCTGACAAGACTATTTCCAGTTCTTAGGTTAACATATTGGTTTTGTAGCATCTTGCAGTGCTGGACTAATAACCCCTATCCTATGTACACTTTCCACTGACATGAAGTGGAGTGATTATTGAATCAATTGCTAGATATATGGCTAGGAAAGTTAATTCACTATGTTGTGCAAGATAATTTTTCTTGACAGAATCCATCTTTCATATTTCTAAATCTACCATTTGTTCATGCATTGAATATTGCTGCCATATCTTGAGTCTCTTGAAAAAGTCAAAAGAAGAGTCTGTAATGTAATTGATCCTGACCTGTCATCTCAACTTTTATCACTTTCCCACCCTGATGATGATGATGTCTTCCTTCTATCTTTTCTGCAAATATTTTCATGGCAATTGTTCTGATGTAAGGAGGATGAGACAAAAACATATTTAGTGCAATAATCTTTTCTTGAATGGCTTGAGCAATATGTGGTCTTGAATTATCATGTAAGAGCAACATGCCTTTACAATTAAACAATGATGTGCACATTTAGTGCTTCTAGTTGATGGCAATATTTCTCCACATTAACTGTTTCATTTTGGTTTAACATTTCATGATAGATGTGTTTTTATATCCAACCAAATACAGAACATAACTTTTGGTGGGTGTGGTCCTGGTTTGGGGATGGATTGTCTTTGTTCATTGGGTTTTAGCCATAATTGTTTTTGTTGAAAATGATTATAGAGAAAACACTTTTCATCACTGTGATGATTCTACTCAGGAATATTTTGGTAGAAAATCTACTCATCAATGACAAACAGAAAGCAATTCTTTGATTTAGATGAGAAGCAGTCAGATGATGGGGGAACCATTCACCAAATTTAGACACTTTTTCAAATACATGAAAGTGTTTTATGATTAAAGTATAAGTTTTATTGAACTTTCTTTTAGTAATTCTCATACAGTTTTCTTAGGATTTTCATCGAGTATAATTTGCAGAAGCTCAATACTGATAGATCTTAGTTTTCCAGATGAGGAGAATCTTTGAGAGAGAAATTTCCCAATCAAACCATCATTGGCATGTCCAGATATTTACAGCTTCATTTCCATACAGAACAAATATTTCTTGCCACTTTTAGAGCTAAAAGGCCCTTTTTTAATTCATACAGCAACTTCTGATATCTATCTGATCGAAACTCAATACAAAATTTACCCACTTTGATATAAAGTAATCTACCAAGAAAGAAAAAACATTAGAAGGTAAAAAAAATTGTTATTTTACCATAAATATTCAAAAAGTACAAATGATCATAAAAAATAATGCAACAGATCTTTTTTTCCAAGATTATAATGAGCTGTTCTCTCAGTGTGAAGTGGACACCACTTCTTTCTTGTGACTATCTGTGTCCAGTTGATAACAAAAAACAATTCTGCATTTTTTTTTCATCCCAAGCAAGGCAGTAAAGCCACTGAGGGGCTACTGGACATGGAAGTGTCAGAAATAGACATTACTAAGGAGTGAGAATGAAAGAAGAGTCATCAGAAGAACAGCAGATAGTGATTGATATGGCATTTAAATTTTTGCAGATTAAAATTGGCTGGAAAGCATAGGGACTACAGGGAGTTCTACACGCAAGAAGTGCGGAAAAAAAAAGTTAGCATAGCATTTCTGGTTATGTCTAGCCAACTCTACTGTAAATTGGTGAAACATTGTTGCCAGTCTAGTACTGCGCTCAAATTTGAAGAGTCTAGGTACCATAGTGAAGAACTTATCCAAACAATTACCATGAAAGTATTTATAGAAAAGGCAAAGGGAGGCAACCTTACAGCAGTGGGAAAGTGACTGGTGCCAATATGCCCGATTGGGGCCAATAATATTGCTTGAATTTACTTGGAACCATCAAACTTGTCTTCTACTATGTGTCCATCATGATGACTTTAATTTGACTCACAAATCCAAGCATTCCTGATATTCAATTGCTGACTATGCAACCTGGCCTTCAGCCAGACAGAAGTGGCAGTGACATTTATATTCATTCAATTGTCTGACAAGCTTGTTGAGGTACCTTGCTTTGGAGTAGTAACAAATTAGCTAATTTTTCAGGCCATTACCAGTTTTGATCCTCATAAGGTGTCCAACACAAATGGCCTTGTGCCAAACTAAGTTTAATCTAAATTTCTGGGATGAGGAGTTATCATTATTTATATTCAGGCTAATATCTTCATCCTTGTTATCATGATAACAAAGATGAGGACATTAGTCCAAATCAAGTTGATACCGTTGGATACACCATAATCAAAATGTAAATAAAATTAATAAATATAGGGTACTCACAATGGAGTTAATGCTTAACTAGCTATTCTCACAGGATATTATTATATAGCAAGTTCAGTCCACTCTGGTAACCTTACATATGTGGCTTTGTGCTAGACTAGCTAAGCTTGATAATCAATTTGGAAAATTGCTGTGGAACGGTGGTTAGTAAGATAGGGTTGATGAAATTAAACGAACAGTTTGAAAGTGTCTGAATTTATGGAATGAGAAGTTATTTACATTGAATCTAAAATCTTCATCTTTGTTGTTGTTATCACAACATTTTAGCTGTTATGCCCTCTGATCTTATTCAAGTGTCTCTTGATCCAGGTAACCTTCAGGGAATTTTGAACTAAACACTTTATTCAATCTATGGGGGTAGATTGTTCATTCATGTCCATGTCTTGGGATATTTTGGCTTGTTCTTTTTAGTTATTGCTTGCAAATGTGACTTAAAATGGCCTTATGGGCAATGAATTATTTTCAACCTTACAGCCTCTTTTCCACAGAGGAAACATTGCAAGCCTATTACTACTATATTGCTAACTTAAATGGTATATGTTCAAAAAGCTACATTCTTTATTTCCTCCAGTTCAGACCTTCACAACTTAAACATTTCATGCCATGTACACAGGGTTGAATCATTTTCATTCCTTTTTTGTATTCCATTGACAAGAAAGAAGTTTCACTTGGATTCTGTTGTGGAATAGACTCCCAAGAGGATGCTTCCCTGAACACTTCAATATTAACCACTTCAGTCTAGGATCAACAGTTATCTATCCTACATATCCTCATAATCTACTTCTTTCCCTTATGATCATATAACAATATCAATCAGTAAAACTCTACCTTTGTGGCTCTTGGGCTTTGTATTGGGTAAACATCTCACAAAAATAAATTCTTGATGGAGTTTGTTTGTTAAATTTGATCCAGGTACAAAAAGAGTTTGTTTTAATATAATCATTTTTTTTAATTGTATTTTTTATAATTTTTTTTTTAATTCCTTATATAGGTTGTACCACAAATTGTCCATACACTAAATTTTTGGAACTGACCCAAAACAGTGTCCCTGTTGATTGGGCCCGGGAATGCCAACTAAATGAAAGCAAACCAACAAGTGGTGAGTTTCTTTTTTGGTGGAGAAAAAAAAAAAGCTCGTGATAAAAATGCATTTATTCTTCATAACAAATATTTAATTTTCAAAATAATCTTCTTCCTGGCCAATACAATGTGATGAATATTAATCCCATAGAATGAACATGGACAAATGTGCTTGTAGTAAGGCGTGGTGTCAAAGGGACTGTTTTTCCTATGATACCACATTTTTTTAATTGCCTTCACTGCAGCAATGTTTATTTATGAACACAACGATCAGCTTTGAAAAAGGACCCATAACTGGAAAAACCCAATGAAAAAAGAATGTTAACAACAAATACTTTTTCACACCCAACCCAGTTCTGCGGAATCAGAATCAACATTGAGTTTAAGCAAGCGAATGAGCCAATTGGAGTGCCATGCAGATTTAAATTTTTCCCATTTGTGACGAATGCAGCTATCGATTTTTTTTTTTTTTTTTTTTTTTTTGCATGCTAGTTAACATTCATGTCAGTCAGCTGTTGACTCTCACGCTGGCCAATAGAATCTTCCTGCCTATTCATGGCAGCCAGCTATTGGCTCTCACTCTGGCCAGTACAAAATGACTGCAAACTGCATGAAAACTGCTGTAGAAGCATGAAAAAAATTGATTATTTCCACTATCTATGGGAGTTGGGAAATGCAAAGTCAGTCTTGGCCTTGCTGCTAACTTGGAGCATGTGCATGTAAATTTTGGTGCATATCCGTCAAATTGCAGCTGTGCATTCGTTAACACACATCCTGCCTTTTATAGATAGAGATTTTAGAAATTTTGAATCCATTGGCAATTAGCCAATGTTTTGCAAACCATTCCAATAATGTAATAAATAGTGTAAATAAACAATTTAATAGTGTTTATTAATTTTGTTATCAATTCTCAAGAACAAAGAAAATGTATAAATTCACTTTAAGCTTCATATGTTTGGGTTTTATTACAATAAACATTGTTGAAGTGTGAAAGTAGTTTAAAAAAAAAAAAGAAAAGTGGTGTCATGTGAAAAACCACCCTTTTGACACTTGATCTTATTGTGGGCATGTTTGTTCAAGTTTGCTGAACTTTCTTTCTCAAGAAATGTGATTTTATGATAAAAATGCATTGCAAATCATTATTATAATAAAAATCATTTCTAATACATTTTCATGGTGAAAATTATTTGTAATGCATTTTCATGGTAAAAAAAAAATAATTTGCAATGCATTTTCATGGTAAAAAAAATCATTTGCGATGCATTTTCATGATAAAAAAAAATCATTTGCGATGCATTTTCATGGTAAAAAAAAATAATTTGCGATGCATTTTCATGGTAAAAAAATCATTTGCGATGCATTTTCATGGTAAAAAAAAATCATTTGCGATGCATTTTCATGGTAAAAAAAAATCATTTGCGATGCATTTTCATGGTAAAAAAAAAATCATTTGAAATGGATTTTCATAGTAAAACTTGTTTCCCTGAAAAATTTATAAATTTCAACTGAAGACAGCACTGGTGGCTCGGTCAATGAATGCTAAAAGTTTCCTTCTAATGAAACTGTTAATATTTTCATTACCATACTTGTGGTCTTAAAGAAAAATTCTTAATTATCTTGTGAATCTGATATTTATTAAAGGTTTTGTACAACTTAATCATTTTTATAAAGTCAAATGAAACAAATATAAAGCATGACATGAATTTTGAAAAATACCAAAAAGTTTTATGTAGACTCACTTAAAATTTGATAAAAGCATCTACAAAGTTCTGTTATTTCATGTTCTATTCATGGTATTGCCTTAATATAAATCTTGCTATGATGTGCTGTTTTTACTCTGGTACCAAGCAAGCAAACACATGCACAAAGAGAAATCAGATTATGGTAAAAAAGATTCTTTCTTCAATTAATATTAACCTTTTAATAAGTTCTTATTTAAAATTTGTTTTGTTATTTTATCCTAACAGAATGTTCTATATTTTCTTTTTTCTTCTAGACAAAACAAACTCTGAAACACAAGATCCTTCCAAATTTTTAAGTGTGGACAGTGGTCACTGCATGAGACAGACAACACAACCAGTGGCAGCACCAACACCAACTTGTTCTTGTCGTTGTTGACTGGGGTTACTGAACCATTAAATAGAAAATACAGTTGTTATTTTGGAATGATTTCCCCCACCTTCTCCTAGTCCTATTATTATTATTATTATTATTATATTCCACACAATGAAAGCAACTGCTATCAAATTTTAAGAGCTTTTAAAAGAGAACCTGGAAAATACTCTTTATTTGAAACTAAAAAGAAAATGCCATATTTCTTGCCATTTGATATAATGGAATATGCGCATACACCTGAGTTCCCCCTCACTGGAATATGATTGGCTAGTGTCCATCATAAATACAGATGGACGTGTAGGTATGACAGTGTAATTCTATGACAGCGCCCATTGGACTACGCCATTGGCTATCCTTTCGGTCTACAACTATTACCTGCAGCTACGATGAGTACCAGTTGATTATTGCTACCATCTACTACTTGGTTACAGTAACTAAAACCGCTTAGCTACTTCGATCAAATATATCCCTTTCCAGGACATATCACCATTATAAAATGCACTGACATTATAACTATCATTTGGTAAGGAATATTTTTTTTAATCATCTCACACCAAGCAAGGCAATAAAGCCTCTATCTCTCATCTGATCTTGCCCCAACTTCTCAGTTGGGGGAAAAACTGTCTGGATACATTCAATGCCAGGAAAACCAAACTAGATACATTCCATCATGAATGATCAGACTCTGAACTGTCACCAGCCATGATGAATGGATGCCCCCCTCAGGGAGGCGCCATGCCTTCAGAGACTATTGGGTCTTAAACTTATCTCTGACTTCAAATGGAACTTGTACATATGATTCATCATTGAAGATGTGGGAAAAATGTTCAGTTCCCTGTACCACTCCATTTAGTACCTGACCCCTCATGCTATCTATATTTACAAGAGACAGATTAAGCCTAAAATGAAGTACTGTTGTCATATTTAGGCAAGAGCTGCCTAGTCCTTACTTTCTAGTCTCAATAGAGTCCAAAACATCTCACAGTCCTTGTAGGTGACAAATTATTTTCCACCCTCCAACCGCTCTCTCACAGGTTGGATATGGCAAGCCTCTTACTACTTTATCATTTACTTTCATGGAATTTCCTCAAACTGCATTCCTTGGTTCTAACCTTCATGGCCAGGACCCACCATGCCATTCACCTTGTAACAAACCACCCATATTCTCTTCGTATTCCATTGGTGAGAAGTAATTTTTAGCCAAACAGCTTCTCCCTGCAAACCACTGCTCTGTGAAATCCCAAGTGTATGTTTCCCTGATCACTACCATCTTGACCTGTTCAAGGTTAACCATTATCTTCCCCTCGTAACTGCTTAAATAGCCTCTTACTGTCACCCACTATCTCGAGTGGCCCCTGGTCCTTGTACTGGGTGAACCTTCCAGTTAAAAAAAGACACAAGGGGTTACTGAGTATGAGAGAATAAAAGGGAAAAAAAAACACTACTATTATATTTATGAAGAAACATGGAATTATTTTTAATATTTTAAAAATTATTTTGATTTGTAATCATAATTTAATCATTTAAAATTATATATCTTTTATCCTGGAGTGATCAGAGGACGAGTGTGTCAGATTGTGGTGGTTAGGTACTAGTAGTGTTTTTATATTTTAATATGTAATCCTAATTTAATCAGTTATATAAAAATTCTGGGGTCATCAGAGAACTAGTGTCAAACTGGGGTGTTTTGGTGTAAGTCTAGTGCTGATAATCTCTACCTCAAGGTCTACCTAAATTTAACAATTCAGGTGTAAAACACAATGTGATTTTGGGGGTATTATTTTTTTTAAAGTTTTTCTTAAATAATGAGAAACCACCTTCAAAGCAGACACTTAACTACATTTTCTTTTATAAGACTTTTGATACCGAGGCTGGTGGAAATTAATTCCAGTGTTTTTTCTTTTTTTTGTCTGTTTTTTGTTTTAAAGTGATACATACTTAAATACATGTATCACCTAAATATAACATTTATAGTAATAAGGAATAATCTGATTAAAAAATCCATTGCTTAAAAATTACTTTGTGTATTAAAACAAAGTTAGCAGATATAGATTTCAAAATGTTCCAACAAGAGCTGTGCATTTCTTAAATAGGTTAATTGAATCTGGCTTTGCTGTGATGGTTTCATATAACTTAATAGTAAAAGCATGCTTGGTTTGAAAGTGGTTTCCCCAAATTAACAGTAAATATTAATTTCACTGATTTAAAAGAAAAAAAACAAAAAAAACAGGGATGTCTGTTCAAACACATGTATCCACCAATTATAATGTTTATCGTAATAAGAAATAATGTCAGATTTTTCAAAACTGCCATACCCAACTTTTTTCTGCCATGGACTAACAAGACAATTTTTCCACAGACCAAGTGGGGAAGGGAAAGACCTTTTTTTTTTTTTTTTTTTTTTTCATTCTTTGCAGCCTTATACCAAATGGTCCATGGCCTCGTGGTTAGGGACCGTTAGTTTAAAACTCAACTTTCCCTATTTTTATGTGTGAAACATCAGTATTTTCTATTTCAAAACATTTACTTTTGGGTATATATATATATATATATATATATATATATATATATATATATATATATATATATATATATATAAAAATTATTAACTTACAAAATTTATCAAAGTATTTTTTTTTTTTTTTTTTTTTTTTTAAAAACCACACAATGGACATGAGATTTTTTATTATAAATTATTTTGTATTTAATTGTTGTGAACTTAAATTTTCCCTGTATTTATCATGATTTTTTTAATATATGCATCTTTAACTTAAATGGGATGAAAATAAATTTTTTTTTTTTTTTACATATAGAATTGGATTCTGCAGAAATTGCACATGTATGCAGAAAAAATAAAAATAAATGTATAATCTTATTAAAACTGTTTTAACCCTCTTAAGATGTTCCAAGAAAATACAGTGTGTGGCAGAAATACCTCCCACATAATGGTATAATTAGGAAAATTAATGACAAAATGAAATTTTTTTTTTTCATGTGATGTCCTTTAGGACTTCATCAGATTAAAGTGACATTTACATTGATGTAACTACACATGAAGGGAAAGTGATGCTGGAATTTTAAACTTAAATTAATTTTTTTTTTATGTATGATTGGTTATGTAGTATAGGCAATTTCATTTAGTTTCTTTTCCTTTTTTGTCTATATTTTCATCACTTTTGTGATAATAGAAGATCTGCTAAGAAAGGTGAAATGTAAGAACCTGGATGCAAATTTACTATAAATGTTCTAGCAATTAAAGCACTTTCTATACATTTTTATCTTAGTAAAATTGCTTACTCTTTTAATTAAAGCTGCATTTTTTAAATTGAAATTATAATCACTCATTATGGTGAGCAACTAATGCAGTCAGTGTGTTGTTTTCAGCATCCTCTCTCTTTCATGTGCATGTGTAGTTACATCAACATAAACATCACTTTAGTACAAGGAAATCCTAAAGGACAAAACATGTCACACAAAAATATTTTTTCCACTTTGTCATTCATTAATTTTCTTAACATTACTCTCATATATATATATATATATATATATATATATATATAATGTATATATCATTTCTACCATATGTCAGTGTTTAGATATGCCAATGAAAAAATTTAAAATACTTCTGATGCTTCCAAGACTAATAACTGTGAGAAATTGAATGTCTCTGATATTACTTTCCTAATTTTAATTTCATTCCACTTGATAATACTTGGAGGAAAAAAATGTGCCTAAAATTGTATTTTTTTAAATCTATTTATTTTCCAAATTTTACATTTTTTTTCCCCTATTTTAATTCAGTTATATATGAATATATGATTTTATTTTAAATATTAAAAAGCAAAGCAACTAGAAAAAAAATAGTATTCTTGTAAATAAACTATTTTTACATTTTGTAAATATTGAAAAAAAAAACAAAAGGTTTTTTTATTATATTTGAAAAATAAATTTAAAAAAAAAAATGTTTGTATTTTTTCTTTTCTTGTACTTTGAGTTTTTATCTTTTATTTCTTTTCCCTCCTTCATGAAATTAAACACCCTTGTGTAGAATAGAACCACAGCTGCACCACACTCGGTATTGCTATGGTTTCTTTAGCAAGTAGGTATTTACAGAATAGTGTAGCTGACACTCACTGGTTTTTAGCTGTGTTTGTCCTAGATTGGTTGCCAACTACAGTGAGAGAACCTAACCTGCCTTGCTATTTAACCCATAGCTGAGGGATAAGCATTGGTTGATCTAATGTAAGAGGAGTTGTTCATTCCCTGCATCATCTAGATGAATTAGTATAATAAAGCAGCAAATAAAATTAGTTAGCTACAGCTACTCCAGGTGGCACAAATGCTAGCTACACCAGTGGATAGGAGTGATTGATTTCTATCTTTCCCAGTGGTGTTTGTGAGAAAGTGATATGCAACAAACTTGGCTGAAATTTGAACTTGGCATGGTGATTCCACTTTCTTTGCTGATAATTATTCAGTTATGCATGAATTCATCTATTTATTTTATTCTACTATTCCAAGGTGAAATGATTCTTCAAATGTTGTTTTTTTGTCAAGAAATTGAAAGCTGTCAAGCAGAAGTGGCTCTATTCAAACTGTTCAAAAACTAATGAAATGTGGCATATTAACATCTAGTTGAGAAATTGCATTGGATGATGAACAGAGGCATTTGGTGTTATTGTAGTATAAGGTCTAACTAAGCATTTGAAATTTAACATGTTGTACTATAAGGTCAGTTATGTGCCATGCACGATACATGCTTCAGCAGTCATGTATCTTTTAATACATGACTGACGAGGCAGTTTTTCTTGCAGTAGACCAGTTGCCATCCAAGGTTATAGAACCCTGTCTGTCCTGCTATTTACCCATAGCTGGGGAGGGAATAAGAGGATTCATGCCTTTCCGAAGGTTATTAGCACATAAATGAATGTAATGGATTCGACTGGAATTTGAACTCAGCTCTCCAATTCCCCAATCCAAGCCACTATCCATTACTCTACCAC